ACGGGGGGTGGGCAGTAGATGAATGGGGGCCAGGGAGCGTAACGATCGGCGCGTGCCCGCCACGCGCAGACGTCAACTCAGTCGAGCAGACGACCACACGTGAAATCTTTCGGCAAATGGTAAGACATGCAAATATTCCGCACCGCACATATTTTTACAAAGGAATTAAATTCTCATTTGCACATTACTAGACTTGCATTTATATATCGGTGAAATATTTCTAATTACTTAATTTCCTTGAATACGGAAAAACAATTTTGTTTTGGTTTGTCAGGGATCGAAGAAGGATTTTGTTTTTATTTGCCCGGGCTCAAAGAAAATAGAGTGTTCTGTAATTGTAAATTATATTTCGTTTGTACTTAGTAGCATTCTGTGCTCAAATTGAATTCTGGATTTTACCGCATTATACATTAATCAATGTATACTAGCTTTATTTAACAGCATAGCTTTTGCTGGAATTTTTTGCAGTCACTGAGAATTGAGTAAAATATTATTTTTTTAATGCCGGTAGAATTCTTTTTCGGCTATCAGAACAGGTTACATTTTAATATTCTATAATTAATTTCATTTTGATATACAATATGCTATTACTTTTAAAACTGAAGTCTTTTCAGTTTTCTTTTTTAGAGTTCTTATTTTATTATGACAAGAGTCTGTTGTTAAAATTCTATTGCCATTTATCTTAGGCAAAATTATTTACTTCTTTTTCAGCTCAAAGGGGCGTTACACAGAAGGGCTATAAATCTCGAAACTGCATTTTGCGTCTGTTCACTATAAATGATCGTTTCACTTTTCAAATTGCTTCCACCAAATTTTCCATTATTATATTTAAAGAAACTAAATTATTATTATATTTAAAGAAACCCATCCATTATTATATTTAAAGAAACTAAATAGTCCATTATTATATTTAAAGAAACTAAATAATGAAGAATATGATGAATGTATGTTTCTAGCATTGTGATAAAACTACGGTACCTAGAGGCATCCAATTTTGAATAACGTAATCCTCCACCCGAATATGAACACTTCGAAGCCCGCATTTGTATTTTTTTTTTTTATTGTCTATTTCATATTTTGCAATACTTTAACGAATTTTTGATTAACAAACTCAACGGTTTCACAGCGAGCAATGGCAACACTGTACGGAAAAAAAAAAAAAAAAAAAAATATTGTTTCCAGCGCTCGAGACTGTCAGTCGGAAATTCTAAAGATATACTGTTTATATATATATATAGCTCAAAAGGATATTAGCCCACATGCTCTCAAACGTGCATGTGTGTGTAAATGAAAAAAAAAAAAAAGTCCGGTTGGACGTAATATAAAATCTGGAATCTTTCAATTTTTGTTTTTTTTTTTTTTTTTTTTTTTAAACTCTGAATTTGTTTGCTTTGAAGAAATGTTCAAAACATATTTTAACACTCAGGTAACCCAACATAAAAGTTAATGTGATTTCAGTTCATAGCATTAAATAGTATTAAACTATCTAGGTATTGTATGAATTAAATAGAAATGCAACTGCAATGAACAGTGCTTAAGGGAAATATCAATCAAAGCTCTGGTCCTGAGCAAATCTCTCAATTTAACATATGTACATGTTGAGACAATATAGATCCAAAGGCCGTTTCATTAAACACAGTATTTTATACAGCTCTCAGCATATACCAATATAGGCAATGGATATCGTTCGTTTGGTATCATATTTTTTCTGCTATTTTGCTTTTATTTTTACTTATGGGTTATATTGCCCACAGTTCAAATTACAAAGACAGTTAAGAAAATAGTTAAGGTATCTGTAACTCGAAGACTTTAACCAACAACCAAAAAGTTAAAAGAACATTTCTATTCCATCGGCAATGAATACTTAAAATACTTTCAAAGAATATGTTATTTTGTCATATTTTTATTTCAGCGAGATTCTTTGAATAATGCAGTACATTCGGGTGTGGGGAAGAATGCTGTATAGCTGTAAACTGAAAAACAACGTCATCATTAAATTTGGTAAAATGATTCACTAATGATTAGCTTTCTTATCAGTTACGTTCTGCGCAATGTTGTTGCATTACTGAGGATATAATTTTATTTTAATTCATTAAATTTTTCAAATTATTATTTTCCTTTTTCGTAGTAAAATTTGAAGACTTTTATAACTCACAAAAATAAATAAATCCGTCAGCAATATTAGAGGTATTAGAATGAGCGTTGTATTGCAAATGGAGCTATTTTATTTATAGATATCTGAAAAAGAAGCCATTCTATAAATATACGATTCAAAGGAGTACTTTCATTTTCCCATCAATAAGATGTTAAAATTGATCAATAATTGTATGTGGAAGTTGCTTCTTATCATAAATAGATTTTATTTAGTTAATTATATAGTTAATTAATTATTTATTTCCTGTGCAACTTATTTTTAGGTAAACTATTTTTGTAAGAAATATAGAGTCTTCTGAAAATGGTACGAATACTCACATCGCAGTATTGCCAGTCTCAAAAAATGAAGAACTAATTTTAATGTATTCTAAGATCTATTTTTAGCATTGTTTAGAATAGATAAAAGTCAAACTTGGAATTAAAAAAAGAAAAGAAAAAAATTACTTTACAACTTATTTTTTATTTCTTATTACATTACACAGAATTTTCTTTTAAAGTTTCTGTATTAGTACAAGTAAGTTTGCAAACTTTCCAGTAAATTATGAATAAATAATACGAAATGTTTGATCTAATTTGCACTGCAATTTTTAATGGAAACTTTCTTTGTTCGTAGAATAATACTGAAATTTTTAAAGCAGTGTTTTAGATTTTGCATCGTAAATATGGTCAAAAACAATTCCATTTAATTATACAGCATAACCCATTTTAAATTACTATTTTATTTCTTTTTATACCTGAAATTACCAATTTAATATCTTAATTGATGTGTTATTGATTTTTCTATCCTTACTTCCTGGGATGGAAAAACAGGAAATATTTATCGCAAGCATCTTTCGCAAACGATCAAGTGAAATAATCGCACAACTATGTTTTGAATAATTAAGGGTTTTTTTTTTCCGTTATTAAATAAATTCACTGATCTCCACGAGGCGTTGATTTACTATGAAATAATCTCATAACAAATTTGTTTCTACTATTCTGATCATGTAGTTTTAAATAACATTTTATGTTCTATATCTGTAAGTTTAGGGAGATAATTTATTAACAAATAGGTTTATCATCAGCACTATTTTAGCACATTGGTAGTGTCAATATTTTTGAAAATTTATCGTATTCTTGAGATAGCTGGGGTAGATGGGTCCTGAAATGTTTGTAAAACTCTGGGTCGAAGATTCTGTTAGGATGGCCTGACATTCATAACTAAGTGAGCTTAAAAAGGAGTCAGATCTTAAACTGAGATCTGAATATAAAAATCAGACTGGCATCGCTTTCCTTTTCCTTCATTCTCTTTTAGTGGAATGCTCCAGAGTTTCTCAATAGCAAACGTATAATAAATGGGGGGGAAGGGGGGTAAAAGTGCAATGGATAACGAAGTTTCATGTATACATGCCACTGTGGCTCAAAAAGTTATACAGTCGATCTTGGCTATATCAAGAGTTCATTACAGCGGTATTCCCATTACAGCGATCGGTGCAAAATTGCTGTTAAATGATAAGAATATACTAAATCCCCATTCATTACATCAACAAGTCGTTAGAGTCCTTTTTATTTTGGAGTTGAAGGTTCGTTATAATGCAAGTCGATTGCAATTTGTATGTGAAAGATCATGAGTATGAAAACGAGAATCATATCCATACAGAAATAAAGGCTTGAAAATATTACGAAGTTAAACCGATAGCATTTTTAACGTAAGTGTTTCAAAATTTTTAAATAACTATTTCAGAAATAATTAGGTAAGGGAAATGAAAATTTCTGGGGAATTGAGTAACCCATTTAACTATTTAATACACATAAGTTCACAAATATTTTTACACAGTTCAGTCTACGCCAAAATAGTACTAAAAAAGAATGGGAATTTCCATTCTAGTAATTTAACAAAAGGCATGCAAAAAGAGGCAATTTTCTTTTCATTCGTTTTTCACATTTTACAATGCAACATCAGAAGATTTAACATTCAGATAAGAAAGCTATTATAAGTCAAATGATAACTCTAACTAACTTACTAACGAATTTTTCTGATCTTCAATTAATTTAATGTTCTATTCCTGTGACGTAATTTAAAAAGTTAAGAAAACGCTTATTTTAATGTTATATTAGGCTTTTTGGAAGAAAAAAAAAAAAAAAAGAATGTTCTTTCCATTCGTTTTTCACATTTTACAATGCAACATCAGAAGATTTAACATTCAGATAAGAAAGCTATTATAAGTCAAATGATAATTAACTCCAACTAACTTACTAACGAATTTTTCTGATCTTCAATTAATTTAATGTTCCATTCCTGTGACGTAATTTAAAAAGTTAAGAAAACGCTTATTTTAATGTTATATTACGCTTTTTGGAAGAAAAAAAAAAGAGGCTTTATAAAAATAACAATTTTAAATTTAAATGAGTATTCAATTGGTAATTACAAATTAAATACATCTTAACCAAAGCGAGTTAACAAGCAAAGATTCTTTCGTCTTGTTTATATCCTGTTTATAAATTAGTAAGAACTATAGAAGGAAAACGAACTTTACTAATATCATTTTTAATTTCTGAATAGTTTAAAACTTGGAATTTTATGAACTATGAAGGAACGCCATTTTGTATATGCTGCTAAATTATTTCAATCTTATGGAAGCCTTGAACTTTTCCGACATGCTCTAGAAGAAATACAGAAGAGAAGAAACAGGAGCAACTCCGGCAGTTGTTCCGTCCCAGCAGACGGTAAACGCCAGGTGGCAACACCATCTGCCGTTAACCCCTAACACCCAATCTTTTTTTCTCTTTGATTTTTTTATGTTTCCTTTCTCCCTCTTTCTTTGTATTTTGTTTTATTTCATATGGCAGTGTTCACCGGTGCAACAGCCAATCGTGTGTGTCTTCCGGAACATGTGCAAAAATGTATAGTTTGAATGTTTTAGAAACTCTGGGTTCTCTTAGCAAAGTCAACTTCGTTTAATTTAATGGATTTTGGTTAATCTGTTAGTAAGTTCATCTAGTTTAGTTTAGCCTTTTCTATTTCATGAAAATTTAGCTTTTTCTTAATTTGGTGTCTTTAACGAGCAATGCAAAATCTGTATAATAAAAGTAGACATAATTTGTGTCCACTAGAAAATGATAACTCGGCGTACCTAACAAAGTTTTACGGTAAATCTGAATTTCTGCGTGTGTGGTTCAGCTGTATTTCTGTCTAAATTAATATTCAATCTAAGTTAAGAATACCACAACAAATTAAGCTAATCTAGAATCTATTTAATATCTCATCGCATTCGAGCTAAATCAAACAAATCGAAAGCATGTTCCAAAGTTCAGACTGTTGCCACTTAGCGTTCTCTAAATCAGTACACTTCTACTGATCATCGTGTTGCCATTCAGAAGCAGAGAAAAGTATCTGTTCAAACAGGTACAATTTTCCTAGGGATTTTTTTTTTTTTTTTTTTTTTTTTTTTTTTTTTTTTTTTTTTTTTAATATTTCGTAAAATGTTTTGTATTAAAAGGCTTTACAACAAACATTTGTGTTCTTGTATTACATTGTTTTGTTTCATATACTATTTCAGAATGTTCATGCAATTCCGTTTTCATATGTTCAATCTATTTAACTTGAAATATAGTATAATTATTTTTTGCTCTGCAACAGACGTTTTGTATTTAAAAGGTGAAAAACTTGTATCCAATACAAAATACTTCTGCATTTAAAAATGTTTAAAATTTATATTAATAGATCACACTTTTAAACTGCACTAAAGTAGGTTTTTAATTTAAAAAAAAAAGTGTATTAAAGAATTTCAAAACAGGCTAAATTTTTATCAAATTCACCTCAGGAATTTCTGAGCAAGGAATTTGGTGTATTTTCTCAGTAATATACAAATAACTGGCAGATATTATCTAACAAAAAAAGTCTTTAATATTAAGGAGTTAAGATACCCAATGTAATCAATAATCTTTTCGTTTAAAAAATTTTAGTCATTTACCCTAGATTAAAATGGCTTCAGTTTTCATTTTCTTTTGGAACAAAAAGCAAATATGTTAGAGCAAAACGTTATTAAATAAAGTTTCATTTCTTAGTAAAAACTATTCGAAGACTGATTTTTGGAAGCTACAAATTAAAAATATTTAAAATATATTAAAAATGACTTAAACAGTGATTTAGATTTCAAATAAAGAAACTGCAAAAATAATGTTTCAGGGAATTATTTTGAATGAATTTCCATATGCTTTGAAATGTGGAGTCAAAATAAATTCAGTTATTATTGCAGGAATGGACTAAATAGGACTAAAATTTTTTTATTATTATTATTATTTTATTGATTTTGTTCCTAAATACTAAAATTTTAGGACTAACACTTTGTAGAATCATTAGGATATTTTTATTTATTATTATTTTTTAACGCAAAAATTCGTATTTATCTTTTGCCTGAGGATATTTATTTTTTGAAAAATACGGAAAAAAGTCAGTCAAATCTGCGTTTTCAAAACCTTGAATAAGATTTATATCGTAGTGTAAATTAGTTTGTAGATTTTCTGGGGTGTTACTCATGTTCATTTTCAATGGTAACGAAAGTATTGCAAAATAAGACTCCAAATCATTAAAATCATAAAACTACCTCCAAATTTTTATCATAATGATTACTGTCATAAAAATTCTAATTAATTTACTAGAAATGTGTTCATGTGCAGCGCAAATTTCTTTCGGGGGGGGCGCCTATTTCAGACCAACTGGTCATTTTATTAAGAAAATTGATGAACTGCGAAAAAATGATGAACCCGGATGTTGAATTAAGAAAATTAATTAAGACGAACTGAATTAGACTGATGAATTGATGACAACTAAAAATAAATAAATAAAGAGACTGATAAATATGATGAACTGAGAGCAGATTAATAAATAAGCAAGCCCCCTCCCTCCCCCCGCAAAAAAAATCTGGAAGGTTTCAGATTTTAAATCAAGTCCAAAGGGACTTTTTTTTAACGTTTTGTGTGCTACCTTTATTTATTAAATATTATGTTCTTTGCACTTAAACCATAAAATTCAGTTCAGTAGCAATGTCGCAAAATAATTTTAAAATGAGCATATCTTTGGAATTTCCGATACACAGTTCCACGCCCTCTGGAGATAAAAAGGTATTTTTTTTCCCCCGTACAGTGTTACCATTGCTCGCTTTAAAATCGCTGAGTTTGTTACTCAAAAATTCGTTAAAGTTTTACAAAATATGAAACCGATAACAAAACAAATTCTAAATTTCAAATTTGGTCTTCCGCATGCCCATATTCGTAGGAGGATTACGTCATTCAAAATTCGATGGCTCTATGTATCGTTGTTTTATCCCAATGCGAGAAATATACTTACATTTATGCAGATTTTTCATTATTTAATTTCTTCAGCTATAATGCATTACTCTAACATTTGATGACAACACTTAGAAAAGTGAAACGGACAGAGTGATTCGACGCAAAATCGCAAAACGAAAGCAATAGTCCTTCAAGGACAAAGCCCCTTTGGACTAATAAATAAAAATAAAATAGATTTTAAAAATAATCTGAAAATGCTTAGATTTTAACGATCCTCGAGAGAGGCTCTTTTAAAATTTGATATGATTTTTAAGTGGAGGTTATCGATAGACATGGAATAGCGAATCACTTTATGAGATATTAAATGAATATGCATTTAGGCAATCATATCTCTTCTGTATTATTTAAAAAATGAAAAAATTTGTAATGTAATTCTGTAAAAATATTTAACGTTTTAATTACATATATATCAGAAATTAAATGAATTTTTATTTAAATCAATCAGATTAAAAGTAAAATAATTATATAATAATATGAAGAATTTCATCTACTACTTTTTAAAGAGTTTAGTTTGCTAATTAATAACAAACGGAATTAAATATGAAAGAATAACATCTTAAGCTTTTCTGAATGGCAACATACTCGAATGAAAAGTGAAACAACGCAAAATCGTGTTTCTGGATCTATAGCACTTCTAGGCTAAAAATGTACGCCGACACTTTATTAAGAATTCTAAAGATATGTTGTTTTTAAAAATTTTATAATTTTGATTTTGAATTTTATGTGGCGATGAAAGTAATGTTTAATAAAAGTTTAAAAAAAAAAAAAAAAAAAAAAAAAAAAAAAAAGTTGTGTTAGCAGGAGTAAGTCCAAAAGAAAATTGATAAGCCACGAGTTCAGCGAGAGTATAAAAACCATTAAAACAAACCCTCTGGTGCTACTTTAAAAACTGAATTATTTTCAGTTATTTTCTAATATTTATTTGATTTTTAAAAAATATTTTTGTTTGAAGCCATTTGTAATACAAATCAATGGCTTGATGTATAATACGTCTAACCGATAATTCTTGCAAGGATTGCATTATTATTATTGTAATACTCAATTAAAGATGCTTCTAATGCAATTATGTTACATACTTCTCTATTAAATAATTAATTTGTGTAGCTTAATAATCAGTTTTGAAGTTAATAACTCATATATATTGTTCTTTGCCTATGACCACCAATACTGGGTCTTTGGTCCTTGAAAATGATTTTTCACTTGGAATGTTATTTATTTGGAATAAAAATTAAAGTAAAAAGATACAATAGTAAACAAATTATTTGTTTAATTCATTTACTTTATCTGACATATTCAATTTTGTTGTTGTGTTTGAAGTTAATGGCAACAGTATATTAATAACTAAATTTAATCTTTGCTTCTCAGTTATTAATCCACTAAGTTATTCTTTGAATAATGATAATATGTTATAAAATAATTCAGAAATTAGATTTGAACCTTATCGCCTTAAATTATTATATGATTACAAAGCACAAATAAATAAAACACACCATTTTAGTACTACTTATTGTCATTAAAATGAAAAAGAAAATAAATTCAAAATTTACTAATCTTTAGGAAGTTACATGAAAGCCAATGCCAACAGGAAATGTGAAACTAAACCAAGAACACGTCAAAAGTCGTAGATTTTATATATCCGTAAAATAGAGTGGAAAACTACGGGGAGGGACACTCAAATTACATTTTACATCTTTACTTACGAATTTAGTACGGCATGCAGAGAAGCAAACAAGATTTAATTGTTTATTACGTTTCGAAAAATAAATTTTTGCTCATTTTATTTATTCATTTTTTTCAGCAAGAAAAACGATCATGCCATACGTTAAGGAAATTTCGGATCATGTCGAGTTGAGTGCGACACCTGCGGAAGACGATCGACATGCAGAACTGCTTTTAGCTGGATTTCGCGCTTGTGCTAAGGAAGCCCTCAGGTTCTTGCTAGAAGATGAAGGTTTAGCACCAGATCATCCGCTTCCAGCGGGACTCGAAGAACATTTGACAAAACGACAGTGTCACTTAGCGGACATGTTGCATAATGATTCCGGTATTGATTTAACAGAAAGCTTACTACAATCGCCAACAGATGGCGACACTACACATGAACTAAATTCTCAAGATGAACTATCTCAAGACTTCTCTTCAGTCAACGAATCTTCAAATATTTCAGTGCACCTGGCTTTTAATCAGAGCAAAGACTCCTTGCCTCTTGAATTAAGTCGAAATTCAGAAAGCAGAAAAGACGCAGATGAATAATTGTTTTCATATTTACAAAACTGTATAATTAAACAGTGGCAATTCTATTAAACATAAGTTTGGAATTTGAATGAATTATATGATTGAAAATTAAATAGTAATTAGAAGAATTACGACGAAGTAGTTTTCTGTCATATAGCTTGGACTGTAAATTTGAATAATTTCAAGCAAACGACAGAACAGCCGTTTTTAACTTACTTCTTGTATATTTTATGAATTATGACTACAAAAAACATTAATTATGTATATTTATTTAATTATTTAACAAAGCTCATAAAATTTATGTTATATCTACATATATTATCTTATCTGTGAAATATATATTATATACACATATTACCTTCAATGAAGGTGCAATTTTTAAATATTTTTGAAAAATAATTAGCAAAGTATTTTTAAATGATTCTCAAATTCAGAGGAAATCTAGTTTACAAATATTTCATGTAAAATTATATTAATTTATAATTTGATAACATCTTAATTGATGCACGTTTTAAAATATACATTGTTAAAATTTTTCATGTTTAATTTATTTGCATCAATATTTACGAATAAATACTTATTTATTAATTAATCTGATTTTTGCACTTTATGCTTACTTAACTGCAAATGTACACAAGTTTCCACGCATTCAAAGTGTTATAAAATGACAAAATACCAACCTGCAATGATGTGAAAATTTACATACAATACATCTCATAAATTGTACACTACATATTATTTAATGCTTAATTTAAATTGTGTGTAAATGGTGCACATTTTCAAAACTATCACGGATGCTTCTAGAAAATTTGAAATGTAGAATGTATAATTCGAACTTTAGGATACCTGTAGTTGCTTGCAAAGTTCTTTTTTATAATAATTTAAAAGGCAAAAAAAAAAAAAAAAGTAAGAATCAATTTTTTTTCATATATAACATTTTTATTATTCTGTATAGCGCTCACTAAATCCTTACTGATTTTATGCATGACAACACTTCGAAAACTAAACTGAAACTATATGTGAAGTGAAAGTAGTAGTTATTATCTAGTAGAAGTAGTTGTAGTTATTATGACCAATAATAATTGTTGCCTACATCACTCCCCTAGGGAGAGAAGATACAAATATCTATACAAATAACACTGATACAAACATCTAAATTGAAATTATGTACACAAAGAAAATCATAATTAAGTTTTAAATTAATATGAAAGAGTTCAAAAAGAGTCAATAACGTCATTGAAACGAACTGGAAGTTTTACTTGTCTTCCACAGACCTTAATTTCATTGTTCTAGAGTATAACAATTTCCCAGCCTTTTTTAAAACACTGCTTGCTTTTCAGCTATATTATATTATTTTTGCTACTGCTACTGTAATTGTTATTATTGTTTCTGAGGATACTTTTGGATTTTTTCAGTTTGCCCTTGCAGCCGTCACATGTTAAATTAAAATATCATCTCTATCCCCTTAATGAAAATATGTAGAAGCATTTAGACATTTATTACCCTTGAAATACTTCGAACTCTCAATTAAAAGTAGTTACGAAATTCGGTAAAGGTGATTGTGACTAAAGATTTCTCCCGTATTTATGAACATAATAAAGAACGGATTGAAATATGTGCTCGTTTGTCCGTCTGTTTGTTTCTTTGTTTGTGGTAGTATCTCCTACGAAACGGCGGGGAGTTGAGTTTCGAAAGAGGTACCTCTGGATTCCAAAAATTCGTGGGAAGACATTTCGACCATTCCTCATCTTTGTACAATTTTAATCAATCGAGATATTAATTAAAAACTCGAAAAACACTAATTTTCGCCCTCATTTTTCGGAGTGGCAACAGTCTCGCACGCTGGAAGTAAAAATCTGCTTTATTTCGAAAAGTGTTGCTCGCTTTCAAATCGTAGAGTATGTCAATGAAAAATTTGTAAGTTTTACAAATATATGAAATAATAATAATAATAATAATAATAAAGTCTGAAAGGTTTGAGATTTTAAATTATGTCCAAAGGAGCGTTTTTGTAACATTTTGTGTGTTACCTTTATTTATTAAATAGCATGTTCTTCACAATTAAACCATAAAATTCAGTTCATATCGCAAAATAATTTTAAAATGAGCATATCTTTAGGATTTCCGATACACAGTCTCGTACGCTAGAGATAAAATTATTTCTTTTCTACAATGCTGTCGTTGCTCGCTTTGAAATCCTTGAGTTTGTTATTCGATTTATCAAAAATTCGTTTTAAAGTTTTATAAAATATGAAATCGGTAATAAAAAAATTCCAAATTTCAAATTTGGACTTATTAAGATGCCCATATTCGCAGGAGGATTACGTTATTCGAAATTCGATGGCTCTAGGTACGGTTGCTTTATCACCATGCGAGAAACATACATAGATTTATGCAGATTCTTCATTATTTAATTTCTTGAAATATAATACAGGGCGATAATATTTGCTTGCAATAATTTGAAAAGTGAAACAACGCTTGTAGTGAATCAACGCAAAATACCAAAAAGAAATTAATCATCCTTCTGGGAAAATTTCCCCTTTGGACTAAAAATAGCATTGCCAAATATTAAATGTATTAATATTACATAAGGTCATATTCTGACGTTAAAGAAAGCAAGCGATTGCATGTGACGTCATTGTATGTAGAAAATGTTTCGCTAATGTCATAAGCTATTTCTCTTGCCTTTTTAGCATGCCTTCGTGGTATAATGGCCAGCACACTCGGCGCGTGTTCGAGAGATCCGTGGTTCGAGTCCCGGCGAGGGCATTGCACAATTTTCACATCTCCTGTTTCGAAATAACATGATGCCTCTACAATGTCAGCATTTGAAATAAATAACTGCTGTTGACAGCTTTTGTGTTTCAGGTTAGGGTAATTGACATGATATGTTATACCACGTTAATTCTTTTATTGATAGCGAGAAAAAGTTTTTATAGTGCATTAATTTTAACTCATAACGTCATAACTATACGTATTAACCTGGTGTGTCAATTTTGTTTTTCGGATTTGGCAACGAAAAATTTATTTATGAATTGATTGCTGCTTGGAAGGAAGGAACTGATTTCATTCATATTGAAATGTTTTTATAAATTTTTATTTCAGGTGTGCATAGAACTAATAAATTTCGCTCTGTTTGCAGTCCACTCATCAAGCGGGCTTGCTCACTGGTGTTCTTTAAACTCCTACCACCGTACGTCGCTGAATTTGCAAGGCTTGCTTACGTTGAAAGGGCATGGTTGTTGTTGTTCTGGCACGTATTTCACAGAAGAATGTTTAACATAGCCCCAAGGAGGTTCGACTTCTACCAAGGATCCCTCAGGGGAAGTTATTGGCTTATTTTGATTGAATTAGAAAAGCGTTAATTATTGGAAAGTATTTTTATACTTAAATTTTGATAGTCAATAGAAACACTTCCCGGGGTTTGACTTTGTCGTGTCTGAGGGCTCCACCTCCTAAGGGAGGTGGTCTAAATCCAAACCCAAAAAGAGATTGACAATGGATAAGAAAGTTCAGACAGAGACGTCTGTGCAGAGTGATTTGATGAAGAAGCTCGGACTATAATTAGCGGCTAGAGACTTGTTTGGGAAGATTGCAAGTAGAATTAAAATGCAATAAGAAAGAAAGTTTTTAACACCACAGAAGTGTTGTTTAGTTATTTAGTATCTCAAGCTTGGAGATCGAAAAATTTAAAAGGAAAATTAGAAAATATGGACAAGAAACCACAATATGAAAGATCTTTGCTGATGTTTTGAAACAGCAGAAAATAAGTGATAAGAAAACGTATCAGAGTAAAGGAAAAACTAAGAAAATAGAAGAACATGTTGTTCTATTGTATCCGAGCAAAAAAAGGATTTCTTCTGAAGAAGTTAAATCAAAAGTGGTAGAAAACATTGATCCAGTTGAGTTGAAGATCGGTATTAAAAATGTAGTTAGAAAAGTGAATAACGGTGGATTGGTTGTACAATGCTCGAAAAAGAAAGATATTGTTTCATTAGAACGAGAAATAAAAACGAATTCTCTTTAAGAGATGAAATTCAAGTAAAAGCTCCTAAAAAAGAACAACCTAAAATTATATTATATAATGTGGAGGAAGAACTGGATAAAGATGAAATATTGGAAGCAATTAAGAGACAAAAACTAATATTTGAAAGTGGTGGAATTGAACTTTTGTTCAAAATAAAAGCTAAAAATCAAAAGTACACTGGGTAGCAAATATTCAACCAGATAAATTTGGTCCGATTATGAATCAAAATAAAATTAATTTGAAATGGTATAGAATTTAAGTAAAAGAATATCTTAATGTTGTTGTAAGATGTTTTAAATGTCAAGAGTATGGTCATTTTCAAAGTAAATGTGATAAAGATTTGATATGTGGTAAATGTTCAAAAAGGGGACATAAATATTGGGAATGCAAAAATGAATCTGAATGCATTAACTGTGTACAAGCGAACATTAAATATAAATTAGATTAGAAACTAAGCATTCAAGCTTAGATAAAAAATTGTTCCTGTTTTAGAAGACAAATGGATCTTATGATAAGAAAAAACTGACCTATGGGTATGTTCTCTTAAAAAAGAAAGGAAAGAAAAAAGAAAGAAAAAGAAAAATGGTGAATAAAATTGGATTATGAACTATTATTGACAATTGTAAATTTTATGTTTAAAAATGTTAAAAACAATTGAAAAAGTTTCATTTTTTGTTATGAGGTCTCTGTGTATTATAAAACTTATATTAGAATTATATATTATTGTACAAATAATCTTATTACGACAAAGATGTCATTTGTTATATGTTGTACTATTTATGGAAAAGTGTTCTATTTCCTAAATTAGGAATATGTTAATTTTAATTTGATTAAAAATTATGTATTATTATATCTTTTGTTGTAACAAGTGGTTTCATTAATAAAGTATTTTAATTTGTTGGTGAGGTTAATGGATCTTTCGGCCGGTAACGAGTACAGTATGGTGGTTGATTTTAATCAATTAGTAGTTTCAATAAGCCCTGCATATACCTTTAAAGGTCGCAGGATTAAATACCAGTCATTACCAAGGATTATGAATGGGAGTTCCTAATTCAAATTCTTTGCTTCTACGTCCATCCCAATTTCGAGGGACAGCTCCCCGGGGGAGTAGTCCTTCTCAGCCTTCTTCTCTACCACCAAACCCAACGAGAGGACTTTTGGCTCGTAATATATTTAAAGTGCCCCTATACCATGCCCTATTCATTTACAAACATCCATGCCTTCTTCGGAATTCGAATTCGAGGCCTTCGGTACTGGCGCAGACTCTCGTAATCATTATACCCTACCGTCTGGCGGTGAAAGGACGTGGCACTTGCAAATGTTGAGTATAGATTATTGCAAATATTAGACTTGCGAATATTGAATATAGTATAGGGACATCACCCTGTACTTGCAAATATCGAATATAGATGCAAGTATCGTGTGTTTGTTTTTAGAATTTTAGGCTGATACGCTTCAGCTTGCATTTTGGGCATTTTCTTAGAGCAAAAATAGAAAATTACATTCATGCAATCTGAACCCACCTAAATGTATGAAATGATGACGGACATGATTTAGCCCGATTTTTATAAATATGAGTGATTGAAATGCCTGATTAATTAAGTAAATATTTCAATATTTGTTTCAGAAGTGTTATCAACCACGTTTTTCTAGGATGTTCGTATCGGTCACTTATCGTTCGTCCTTTATTGTGCTAAAAACAATAGCGCTCGTTTCCCAAGATTTTTCAGAGCAGATTGAAAGTTGATTGGTTAGTTATAGGGGAACATGGGAAAATCCATAAAAATCAAACATTCAGCCAGTTCCTTCGCCTGGGATCGAAGTCTGTTCGAACTCCCAGTAGGTTACTAGTGGGGTGAGCTGGCTACGAGATAACATGTACTATTACAAAACTGGTAAACAAACACTTAAAAAGAAATAAAACTTCGAAAAGTAATTATTCGAATATATTGTAATTTTGACTATCACACTTGTTCGAAAGTAATATTAGATCAAGCCCACGAAATTCAAAGTGGCAAGAAGTGCAAGATTGCGCCTGACCTGAGCAATAGCCTTGAGAACCATACCAGTGACAGAACGATTTTGATTGGTTCCGACTTCAATTTTGATGGACAGCTCTCGGGAGAAGGGTCTGAGAGTACCACACCTTTCTTCCCCTTCCTAAACCTTTCAAAAGGACTTCCGGTTCGCCGCATATTTAGAGTGCTCCCCATGCCGCACACACGCTATACGTTTACAAAGACCTATGCCTTTTCCTGGATTCGAACCCGGGGCCTTTCGTACGGCAGTCAAAGACGCTATCCACTATCCCTGTTGAGCAGCGAATGTGTTGTTCAATTCAACAGAACCAAACGTGAAACTGAATAATTATAAAATACTGTGTAACAGATGTGGTTATATTTCATACAAATCTGTTCCGCATGTTAGAGTTCGTTAAAAGAGAAGAACCGGAAATACACTGTTGGCCATTAAAATTGCAACACCATGAAGGAAAGCAAATACAAAAAGATATTTATTGTACGTAAACAGTATGGCATGAAGACAAAACGATAAAACGTCAACGTACCTTACGAGCTGATACTGGGAGTTTGCAAACATGCCCATTTCCTGGCTAATGGTCTGAGATGTGATCGTACGGTTTTGCAGGGCTGACTTTACAATATGTCTGCTAGTCATGGCGTTGAGATCCTGCATGCCGTTCAGTATGACCCTCAGCAATCTATTGATTCCATATTCGCATGACAGTGGTTGGATGTCGACCAGTGCGACCGGCGATATCACGGAACGATAATCTTTACTTTCGATAGGCAACGATTCTGCCATTATCGAATTCTTAAACTTGCTGGTAAGCATTTCCTCTTCTTATTCGAGACATAACACGATATTCTGAACAAACTCCAACCTTACAAAGCACTTTCCGAATGAGAAATCCGCTACACAACATTTCTTTTATGCAGTGCTTCAGTGGTCATTTCTCTCTTATGGATTGTCGAAATGCGCTGAAATACTAATCATTTGCATATCCCAACTTCTTCCTTTCATGTGATTTGACATTCGTCAGATCATTCCTTCCTGGTGCTGCAATTTTAATGGCCAGCAGTGTAGATTTACCAAGAACTGGGTACTTATGCAATTTAAAAAACAGTTAAACGTTTTGCAATGTTAACAAATGTTTCAAGGTATTTTGGCATGATACTGCATTTTGTAATTATATCTCTATTTAGTAAAATATGAAGAGGCAATTCTTATTGCTCTTGCGATGTACGCAGAAATGTACGCTTTTACAACACAAAACTCAAACTTCAAGCCTTTGTACGTAAATCGACCGAAGAACAGGTGAAAAATTAACTATCTCTTTTTCAGTCAATGACTATTCAAATATGTAATGAGCCCATTAGCGAACAAGCGGTAAAATCGCTGATCACAGGTAGCTTCGATCTGAATTCGGTTCCAGGCGAACGAGCTACCTGCATGGGCGTTTTCATGCTTTTTCCCATGTGTAACGTCTATACGAGCCCGTTTTCCTTAGAAAGTCATTCACGAAGGGATCCCTCTTATTAGGCAGATAGCCTTAGTGTGCTTTACCGTAAACCCAATAAACTAAACCAAACCAAGCATTTAAGAGCCTCTAGCTTTCTTTAGTCAGAATAAAGACGTCTTTCAAAGAAGTTCATAAATCAGAACACAGGAAAAAGCAGGAATATGTAATTATTTCTCTGTTTGCAAAATAATGGATTAAACAAGGATAAATTTGGTATACAAACCTTGTAGAGACATTAGGATATTTTTTTATCTTGGAGAAGTGAAAAATGAGCAATCCCTTCGCTGGGACTCGAACCTCGGACCTCTCGAATACGCGCCGAGTGTGCTGGCCATTGCACCACGAAGGCATGCTAAGAAGGTGGGGGGAATACTTTATATACTCCCCCTTTTAAAGGGCGACTGGGGTTTTTAAGGGACCCAATCGCCAAATCCTCGGTGAGGAGAATCATCATCCATCATCCACCACCCTATTTAGTTTGGGAGCCACTGTAGAGCCATAACTGCTTTTCGAAGTCGGAGAGATTAAAAATGAGTAATGCCTTTGCGGGGAATCGAACCACGGACTTCTGGAATACGCGCCCAGCATGCAGACAACTACACCACGAAGGCACGCTAAGAAGGCGGAAGAAATACCGTATAAAATGAGTGCAGAAAGAGAAAACATATGACTCTCAACTGAGGGAATTTATTCGGGTCGGAAGTGTATTCGTATCCCAAATTATTTCACCCTTTTCTCGAAACCCTAGAATGGCATTCTTATGCACATCTGCATTGAATACAACCCATCATCTTTGCAAAATTATTTACTCCCTGAAGCATTCTCCCCACATATACTTATGTTTCCCTTATGGCTTGTCAATTCTGTATACCATTTAGCCTGAGGAAAATCTTCGAATGAATGACTTCAAAAGACAAAGAGTATCGCATATGTATCCTTCGGATTTCTTTGTAACGAAAGTTTGAGCATTATACGGCGAATATACCTAAGAATTAAAATACATAGTTTGAAATAACCGGTGCACTTTATACACGGAATATACAGCTGTCTACGTCTCTTATCCTTGGAATCGAATCTGAAAGGCAAGTCCAAGTTAACATAGAGTGCGGTAAAATTCCATGAGGCTGGCTAATGAAATGCTAGTTTAAATGAATAAATATAATTAAGATTCACTGACTTCATAAATTTTATGTATGATATGCAATTAGTTTACATTTTTAAGGTGTTACAATGTACTCGTACAATCTTTACACTTGAAATTATATTATGTCTTCTTTTTGGATGAAAGTGTGAGTTCAAGAAAACTTAACTTTTTTCATAGTCAAGGAAACTTGAAAGGATGTCTATTCTTCTGGACTGTCGGTAAGTATAGGAATATGTGATGTAAGTGTGAAGCCATCAGTTGTTTTACCATTAAGAATACTATTAGTTGTAACTTCTCGACTCCTCTGTTCTTCATAAATGCCAGATGCTGTTGGCATGTCATAAGCCATCTTATAGTCAACAGCATTGGTTGCGAGTCTATTTCTGCCAGTTTCTCTTAAACTGGGAATGCCTAGTATTTCTGTCAAGTGAGGTGATATCTTCTCATCAAAGATACTTTTCAGGATTTCTTCGTACTCTTCTATAGTGGACGATGCTGAAGTTTCAGACCTACTTTCCTTTGGGATATTCTTAGATGATATTAAGCTGATGCGATCTTCCAATCCAGTGGTAATAGGTGAGTACTTTTCGGCGTATTTGATAAGGATATCGATGTCCACTATATCTAGAGAAAGAAATTGGAATATGAGAAAAATACACGAATTTACTTCCTCGTAAGTTTAAACTGTTTTCATATATTAAAAAATATATATATTTGTAATAATAAAATTCCACAGTCAAGAATACACTTAAAATTCTAACTGTATGTTCTTTTCATTTTTTAATGGTGACGTTCTCTTATTTGAAAGTACGTGGAATTAAATTCGCAGCTCCGTTTTTCCGCCTTTTCTACACGTACAGTTATACAATGTTCTCGAGATATTTAAAGCGAACTGGATTGGCTGACGAGGCTGACGTCATTTCTTGGAAGCTCCGCCTTTCCAGAGGCTATTAAAAAGACTCGCAAAAGGAATATCGGGGCTTTTTCTTTAATGTCACGATGCAGTAAACTTCATACAAAAAGTTATTAGTAATTCCTTTTTATTTACTCCGGATATCTGATTTTGTAACTGCTATTTTCTCCTGAAATATAATAAATGGATCCTGTTTTTTTAAAACTTATCGTCTGATAATTTAACCTACAACAAAAGCTGGTACATCACATATATATACCAATAAATATCAAACTATGATACTCTTAGGAATTGAAAAACAAAAGGAACAAGATACCGAAATGTAGGTATTAGTTTAAAGTTCTTTGCAAATAAAGTCAAAATGCAGGTACATTCTGGGAGAAAAAATATCCTTCAAAGCATTCACATTTTGTTTTACGCCGAAAAGGGCATTTATATCATTTGCATACATGTTTCGAGAGCATTTGGGCTAAAAATATTTAAAAACAACCTATCTGTAGAATTTTCGATAGACATTGAGCGCTGGAAATAAAAATGATTTCCCCGTACAATGTTGCCATTGCTCGCTTTAAATAGTTAACTTTGTTAATCAAAAATTCGTTGAAGTTTTACAAAATTTGAAATACACAATAAAATATTTAAAAACAGCACATCTTTAGAATTTCTGACAGACTCTCTCGTGAGCTGCAGATAAAAATGTTTTTTTCCCATACAGTGTTGCTCTTGATCGCTTTGAAATCGTTCGTCTGTAAATCGAACTTTCACAAAATATGAAACACACAATAAAGCAAATTGGAAATTCAAAATTCCAGATATCTATATTTGGTGGAGGATTACGTTATTCAAAATTTGATGGCTCTGAGTACCGTTATTTTTTCACAATGCAAAAAACATGCATACACTCATGTAAATCCTTTGTTATTTAATTTCTTTAAATATAATACAAGTCCATAATATTTGGTAGCAGCAATTTGAAAAGTGATTCAGACTTTTATAGTGATTCAACGTAAAATCCCTTTTTGAGACTATTAGTCCTTCTGGATTAACGCTCCTTTAGGGGACGCTAAAAAGGGACAGTTCTATAGTTCTAGATCTCCCCTTCTACTGGGGAGAATGACGAAATTTAACTTCCATTTTTCATATCTCGAAAGCATATATATTTGATATATTATTCTAACTTATATATTGTGATACAAAATCTTACTTTTTTCTGAAATGACATAACCGACTTTTTCCGTATTTCGATTCTACGATTCAAAGTATACTATAATGGTAAGTTTAGTAAAAATCGCACCAGTTGTTTTTAAAAAATTAGCTCTTAAAATTTCAGCTCCTCACTGTTAACTGAATTTGTTGTATAATTATTAATATCGTTTTTTATTAATCTTATTTGATTCCGTCTTTCATAATTCGAAATTTAGGTTTAATCCAAATAAAATACGCACATAGTTTCTGATTTATTTTTAAAGTTTGTATTTTTTAGTATTTTTATAAATTTTTCGAGAAAAATTTTGAATTATAACCTATAAAAATTTTGCCATTAAAATTTCCCAAGTTATAAGTGAATTTATATGTTGGCGGCTTTTGAAATTTAGTATATTTGTTGGAAGCATTAATAACGTCCAATGGGGCTTATGAACTTTGTTAAAATTATTTGAAATAATGAATGATGCACCTTTTTTTCCGGTCGTGCGCAGTTAATGGGAAAGTAAAATAAGTTAACTATGATTCGCAAAATGACACCAAGGTATTCAGTAACAAGTAATATAATTTTTTTAAAGTCAATTCCTACTTAGGTCAACAAAGAAAAATTTTATTTTAGTTACTTTTTATTAAAATTTTCTTCGTTTCTAATTTATGAAACTAATGGTGGTCTATAATTTCTCATTCTATCCATCTCTTGTAATGCTTCATTATTGCAAGGATCCTTTCCAGTGAGTTTCGAGCAGTCCAGGCCTTCAGTTAATATTTCATCTAATGATTTCGAACGGCTCAAGGGGACATATCCGACTCAAGGAATTAAAGTGAAAAAAACTGTCGAATGTGAAAACAAAACTGCGAAAATAATTAAAGTGAAAAACAAAATGTGAAAAAACTGTATTAACATCAAGCATTATCCACTACAAGTTGAAAAAAATATGTTTGAACTTGAGTGGATGAATAAAAAGTATTTTATTAACGACTAGCCGCTATGCAGCCAGCCCTCGTCTGGCTTTTAAATGTACCGAAAAAAATGCCTAAAGGGAAAAACTAAGCCCTACATTTAAAAACTGCACAGAATTTTACTCTGCAGAACAACTTTATCAAAAAAAAAAAAAAAAAAAAAAAGAGAGAAGAGAAAGAGAGAGAGAGAGACAAATTTCAATATAAATGCATTACACATAAAAAAATTACAACGAAATAAACAATATCCCTTAATACAATTATTAATTATCCTAATAAATAAATTAACCAACTTCCCGTTGCCTTCTCTCAAAGTCCAGTATCCAAGAGAAACATTAAATTTAAAAACTGCACAGAATGATCGCCCTCATTTTTCCACGTGGAAACAGTGTTGATTTTCAACGGTCAGCAGTCCAGTATAAAAAGCATTGAGTGAAAAACTGTTGCCAAAACCACATTTCTAAAAGAATGAAACCATTTGAAATGATGCGATTTTATTAAAAAAAGATTAAATTAACATAAAAAAATCTGATTCAAATTTTGAAAATGTCGCTTCGAGGTACACTGGCTCTTGTCTAGATGCATCTATGTACCATATTTCATAGCCCTGGGTCTATTAGCTTAAGCGCAGCACGAACGAAAGACACTCGGACTCTTTCTTTTATTATATTTAGAGATTGAAAATTTGAACAAGATATAGGGAGAGCCTGAGCTAATAGTAGAAATTTCAAAAAGCAAAGAACTATGATTCATATATTTCAAATTTTAAGAATGATAATTCTATGATGAAAATCATTTTTTACTTCCTTGTACGAAGTAAAAAGGAAGTATTGTAATCGCGAAAAGTTTCAGGCAGCATATTTCAACGAAAATATCCATTTTGACCGCTATCGAATGCAATTGAACGATGTTTTTGCGTGATATCTATACGTAAAGACAGAATAAAATACTCTTTTCCTTCAAATATATATATATATAATATATATATAGATAAAAACTGCTTTAAAATTAATTCTGAAGAGAATTTTTCGTGGCGTCTGTACGAACGTAAGTACGTACGTATCTCGCAAAACCTTAAAAACGAGTAGCCTCAGAACGTTGAAATTTTGTATATAGGACTGCTATAACATGTAGATGTGCACCTCGTATTTTGGTTGCAATCGGCCGCACCAAACGTATATAAATATATTTATATATATATCCACTCTGTTACCCGGCTCAGTGATCTCAGTTTCTTTACTCTTATATGTTTGTAAATTGTACATTTTTTTTTCTTTAAAAAAATGATTGATTGAATTATGTTGTTTTTAATCTTCCGGTTAAAGATTTTACGCCTTTAGTAAATCTGTGTGCAATATTTTTAGAATTATCAGCAATTTTAAAGTTGTTTAATTGCCGCTAAGCCCTTTGTTTTTAATGGCGGCCATTGATGTTTACATTTGAAAGAGGAGACCAGTGGATTTCGTTGCCAATCTAGAGAAACTTAGCTTCGCAACAACAAAGATAAACGCATTCATTTATTATTGCCAATTAAATCATGCTTAATTCTTTCTGGAATTTTTTCGAGGAAATAAGTGTGTTTGAGATTTACTTCGTAATTTTTAATATAGATATTTTGAGTTTTTATGTATTTTTGCCTTCTCGCGAAGTGAGACTGAATTAATTAAATGAGAGAAATACTCAATCGTCTGTGAAAAACTGTTTCTTTTTGTTTGTTTGCTTAATTCTTTTATACATCATTCTAGCTTTATTATAGTATTTGAATAGAACATGTGGCAACGATTAGATAATTCTATTTTTTAAAATGATATAAATTTTGTGCATTATGAGTTATAATATGAACGAAATATATACGTTAACTGTTATATAATTATTGGATTATATAACAGTTAACTTAGTTTCCGTTATATAATTATTATATAAGTTAACTGCTATATAATTATTAATACTGTTAAGTAAATCTAGCGCCAGAGTGTCACTATGGTAAACAAATACTAAAGTGAATTTTAAAGAATGCATTTATTCTATTGTGGTTTATGCTCTGTCGGCGAAGTAGAGTTAATTCAATCCAATAAGTTTAAATGAAATGCAAGAAAAAATGCGTATAATTTAATATTCCAATTTAATATTCCAATACAAGGAAGTCATGGGGTGTACACATCAGATTTTTTGCTTAAATACAACGGCTACTTTTCAAAAAATGTAGAAAACAATGTTTCTTTAGTTTGTAATCCACATATTTTACTGAACGTACGTGTATTCATTACTGAATATACAGTGTTAAGATATCAATTAAAAATAGGGTTTACCTGTTGGCTTATGGCTGATAGCATTCTTCTCTATCATATCGTAACCGTCTCCGCCTTTAACAATGAAAGAGTTCATCGCCACTGTATAGATGCCTTCATCATTTAAAGGCTCGAAATGGGGAACTCTGCAATCGGCACATCTTATCGATGCTTCTATTAATCTGGAACCTGGTGGTTTGGATACGTCATAAGTTAAACGAAGACCTGTAAAATAGAAAGAGTATTGGAAATCAAGCTTTATTGCTGAATACTTCTGTAGTTATTTTATACCTGTGCGTGAAATTATATTTTTTTAATTAAAATTTCAGACGTATGTGAAACACAGGCATGAAATTTATGCAATCGAATTCCCAAATAAACGCAAGTTGCCTTTCACAAAACTGTCTTTTAGGTCCACGCCTTCATTCGAAATTCAGTTTAAATTTTAGAGTTAAAAAATAGAATTTTGTGGAATATCTAGTCTGGTCTATAAATCTAATCATGCATTTATTTTATCGACTACAATTTTATTAACCTGCAGAGATGATGAAGATCCTAGCGAGAAGAATTTATAAACGAGGTACTGAAGAAGAGAAAAAAAAAAAAATTTCGTTGCTCATTCTCGAGCTCTGAACTCTTAAATTATAAACTTACTTGCTAGTCTTTAAATCTTAAAAGCACAAAGGTACCCTTCTTTTAATTCTTCACAAACCTAATGAAATTAAAAGCGAAAAAAAATTAAACAAAGTTTCATAGCACATCGAAAAGTTTAGTAAATTGTTAATATGATTAAATTCCTGATTCTTTCAATATACCTATAATCACCTACTGGAGATACTGATATCCAGTTTATGCTTTTAGAAAAGATCCGTTCAATTTCAGGTAGAAAGTTAGCACAGAAATTCATAATTTTTGTATTAATTATATTAGATTAATTTAAAGCATATTAATTGGTTAAATTTCGTTTGTAAACTCATGAGCTACAAGACTGTTAATGTTTTAAATATCTTATTAATGGTAAGTGAAGAATAAAATAATTTAAATATTTTTCTATATAATATGTAACAAATGCAACAATTTTCTTACAAGTCAGTATTTTATTCTCCGCAGTTTAAATTATTCATTTATTGAAATCTATATTTCTTGTCGCCAAAGCTTGTTAAAACAACAACAAATTTTAACGTTATTTACACTAAATAAGTTTTCTAAACTATTCAGCAAGATAATTTCATTATTATTTGAAGAAACTAACCAGATTACCAACCATAAGCCTTCGAAGATTAGTATAGTTTATCTTAGGCTACTCCAATTTAGTTTTTATGTTCAGAAAACTTACTTGGTATAGTGTATAAGGAACTATTAAATGTTTATTGTCGCACTTAATATATTATATAGATAATTGCACCAAGTATATCCATGTAACTCAATGATACTTTTACCTGTGCTGCAATTATCTACAGAACTTATTAACTGTTTATGTTGGGGAAGGCCATTAATTGAATTTAAGTTGTATCTATCCATTTCTAGCTCTGTACATGTGGAAACATGTAAAGAGCTAGCCATACAGAAGCGGACATATCCAGCATTCTTTTTTGTACCCTCAGCACTATCCCAACACTCGTCTTGCACAAAACACATCAGTCTTTTGTGGATTTTTGAAAAGGACTGTAACACAATATTTTACTTGCCCCTCTGCTAAACATACGTCTGAGGAGCGTTGCAATCCAGGAACTTTATAACTAACTGTTCCAGTGGAACGCCAGTCCCGCCATTGGAAGAAGGTATAAATGTGCATGAGGAATTATGAAACTTACTTATCTGGTTCTAGAATTTTATTTAACGTATACATGTTGAAAAATTTTAATACAGTAAAAGTTCGGTTCACGAATTTAATTTATTTCTGAAGGCCATTCATCAACTGAAATGTTCGCAAATCGAAACATTTCTCCCCATAAGATGTAATATAGAACAGGTTAATTCCTTCCTGAACCATTTTATAATAGTTCTTTATAGGTTTTCCCTTAGTTATTTAGCCTATTTTTCAAATTTTAGTTATCTTTCCTGAACTCCTCACCTTCTCCTCACATTTCCTCGCCAGGATTAAATATAAAGTTAAGTGAAGTGAGTATTTAAACGGATGAATCTTGGATTTTATTCAGAGCGTGTTTTCGCTAGCCAGCGCACGTTTCGTTTCTAACCTTGCTGTTATGCTGATACGACTTTTTGGCCATTTGAATAATTATCCCGCCTGTTAGGTTTTGTCGAGTTGACCTAGTTTAGCCGTAATTTAAAGTGCTAAATCAGCACTATTCTTTTTAGATTTGTGTTTTAATTTGTGTAATAACGTTTTAAGCTCCACAGCAAGTTGTCGGTGTTATTGTAAAATACCAAGTACGTGCCTTTCTGTTCATAGTTAAAATTAATAAAGAATTATTTTTACCCTTCTTCTGTGCTGGTATTCTTCTTTGAAGCCTGAGCGAGAAATCGCCAGGTTCATTCGTAGGATCTAGATTAGTGTATGTGGACAAGAAGAGCTCAATCTTATAACCTTATGCGTCAGTTTAAAACCCAAGCCAATGGACAGCGTTATAACGCAAAAAATACAAAATAATAAACGCATTATTAAACAGATATGATAGATGAAAATTTAATTTGTTTGTTTATTACTTGAATTTATTGTACTTATACAAAGGAAGGTGTACAAAGAATACGGCATAAGCAGAAAATGATGAGGAAGCTACTCCACGTGATTTGATTTTGCTTACGTTTTAAAATGTTTCTAAAGCGAGGCATTGGAACTGCCATGGAAAGTGCTTATCCTGTAGCTTTGTAGAGATATTAGGTCGAAGCAGGAGAGATGAAAAATGAGCAGTGCCCTTACCGGAACTCGAACCTCGGACCTCTCGAATACGCGCCGAGCGTGCTGACCACTGCACCTGGAAGGAATGCTAAGAAAACGGAATACATACCTTATATACTCCCTTTCAAAGGGCGACTGGGGATTAGGGGGCCCAATAGCCAAATCCTGGTGGTGGAGAATCATCATCCACCACCTTTTTTAGTTTGGGCGCACTCTAGAGTAACTAGGTTATTTCGAAGCAAGCGTATATGAAAAATGAGCAATACCCTCTCCGGGACTCGAACCATGGATCTCTAGAATACGCGCCAAACGTGCTGACCACTACACCACTAAGGCATGCTAAGAAGGCGGCAGAAATATCTTATAGCTTGCTACTGGTTTATCAGGTAATACCGTTAAGTGATCTCACCCGACTTTGCTCAAATTTCGAGGATCAGAGAACTAAGATCATTTTTCTCTCTTCCTTTTCTTATGGAGATATTTCTTTTACAGTAAGCTTTTGTTACTTCTTCTGAATTTACTGTAATTCTTTCGTTTGTAGTAACTTCTCTCCAACATCATTGGCATTTTCTTAACCTGTGCTTTGTCCTGGAGATACAATATCACCGAAAAAAACGAAGAAGAAATCCTCAATGCCAAACAAAAAAAGTCTTAAGTGGGAATGCGCTCAAGCTCTCTGCCTGAAACCTATAAATTTGGATATAATTTCCTTCAGGTTGAAGTCATGGTCTTCTAAGTCGCTACCAGACTTTGATTATAAGAGTTAAGTAATGGAAAATATTAAAAATGATGCTTCTTGAGGGCCCTGAGTATTGATTAGGTGGCATAGGTTACCTCAAAGCACCTTTCAAAATCACACGTTGCCTACTTGAATGTTCGTAACTCGAGATATTGTTCGTCATCCGAGACGTTCAGTTAATTTGAGAATCGAATTATTTGAGAAGTAAGAGATTTGTTATCCTACGCTCCACTGTATTCGAACATTCTTTCTTTGCCTTCAATATAAAGAATTCTAGGTATTCAAGGGATTTAAAAATAGCAAATACATTACCGAAATTAAGTCGCAAACAGTACACATCATTGAAAGCACAGTAAAATTTTCATTATTTAAAATTTGATTATTCAATCTAAATCTATAAGGTATTTCTCCCGCCTTCCTAGCGTGCCTTCGTAGTGTAGTGGTTCTGAACCCTGGGCAGGTATTTCAGAGGTCTGTGGTTCGATTCCCAGCCAAGGCGTTTGCTAATTTTTCATCTTGCCTGCTTCCAAAAAATCCTCATACAAGCCAGCTCAGTGTATACTATAAATATTTAGCTCTGAATATATTGAAAACGAACAAATACAGATCTGTCTTCAAAGCGCCGTTTTTAGCTGTCATCTAAGAATTTCCCAGCTTTTTGCTTTTATATTAAATCCTGCATTTTGCTGTTACTAATTTTTCCTTCTATAATTCACGTATTAAGTATTTACAGTTTATGTATTTTTAATATAATAGATATACATGCATAAAAATGTAAAGATAAATTTCAGTAATGCTAAATGTCATGCACGAAGTTACCTATTTTTTTCTTTACCTGATACTTGCAAAAACGCTCCTGCAGTATCTGTACCGTCAGCATCGTAGTTTTTTACCGAATGCTCCAATATCTCTCTTAGATGCTTTCCTTTCAATGTGACGATATCCAGGGTATTTCCAAAGGGTGCCACTGCTAGAACGTCTTCTAGAGTGATATTACCTGTAAAGAACATCGGCATATTTGTAGTTGTTAAATGGCATCTTTCAGTACACACAACTACGAATATCAAAATGTTGACATGAAACCTGAATATTCATCATTTTTCATAAAAGTTATAAAACCATGGGGTTTTGATTATCATCTGAAATTGATATTTTATTTTCTTGTGTAAGCTTTCAAAATTTGAACTTTGCGCATTTGAACCAAGTAGTCTGTTATTGGTAGTCCACACCAGAACCAAGTTATGGCCATCCTTTGCTGAACTGTTAAAAATTGGGGTATTATTTAAGAGACCAAACTTCTACGATGCTAACATTTTCCAGATTGTCAAGGCTGTCAATACGTTATCCCCCCGGGGGTTGACTCAGGCGAATGCCTGGGAAGTACTGCTTAGGATCTGTACCTAGGCAGTCTCAACCACGGGGATATATAATTTGACTTCACAGGACTAGAGCCCGAGTATTGTACTCAGGTTGGTTCAGGCTTGGCAGGGACCGTACTGGTACTGTCGTGTCTGTTCCTTCGGCTGTGGTGGAGCTAAATGGTACATTTGTCGACTGAGTTCCCGGGGGTTTGACCCCATTCAGTTCTCGTGGCGAGGACTGACAAAGCGGACAGAGCACCTTTCTACAATGTGGTTTTGCCGATGGAGTGGTGCTCGGAGGCAAGGTGACAGAGTATCAAACCGTGGCCTTCGAGAAAGCCACGGTTTTACCCAGACAGTCTTCGAATTCGAGGGTTTGCCGCAATCATATAAACTATACCAAACCAAAGCAACTTCGTCTCGTGAAAAAGAAAACTTCCATCAGTCAGACTGCGCTTTAATTAAGACTTAGGTATACTGTGAACTTATTTGATTGCAAATTATTGAAATATATCGTGTCTTGTCAATACTATGCATCGGTTAAAAATCACTGTAACGTGATGTCTTTCTACTATTGTTTCGCAAAAGATATCCTTCTTTTATTGCAAACACTCTGTTTCTGTTGTCGAAAGATAGAAACATAGAAACATAGGATAGTTACCTAGTAATAGGAATTTCTCAAATATTCTAAGCTTTCTGCACATCGCATCGAAGTTTAATTAGTAAAATTATTTTAATTTTGTTTGACGTCGTCACGAAATCTTAGTTATATTTTCGCATACGGAAATTCTTTTTAGGAAATGCAATTTCAGAAGTTCCTACGCTACAATAAAGCATCTGAGACTGACATAAATGAACCTTTCTTTCTGAAACAGTAATAGTCCATTTTAAGTCTCATTCTGAGACGCAAGCAAGCTCTTCCACATGAATTCCAAGAACTCATGTCTCGACAAAATGATGGTAAAAATAATAATTTTATCTTGTAGAGGCCAAGCACCTAGTATTTACATTACTAACGATATTTTTAGCAAAGCCGTTTCAAAATATAAGAATAATAAATTATCATCAGAAAACTTCCGGTTAGAATATTATACTAGTTTTATTTGAAAAGTTTATAGCGTTTGGTTTTCTTTGGTAGCATAAATTGTTATGAAACTCCTAACAGGCTTGGGCCCACCAGCGGCCGGAGCGGTAACGTCGCTGAACACTGGTAGTTCGGTCTGAGGCTCGAAGCATGGGTGTTTTCGTGGTTTTCCTCATGTGTAACATGTATACGAGCCAGTTTGCCTTAAAAGGTCCTCCCCGAAGGCATCCCTCCCTTAAAGCAGATAACCCTCGAGTGCTTTGCCGTAGTCTAATAAACCAAACCAAACTTAACAGGCTTGGAGCGAATTATATCACTTGATCTGAGGCTAACAAAACAGTCTTGGGAAGGTTTTAAGGGAAGTTGGAACCCCAAAATCTTCAAAAAATTGTGATTTCGGATTTTTGCATTTTCAAATTCTCTACACTTTTATCTTTCTAAAAATTCCATCCTTTAATCTGTATGAAAAATACACTGTAAAAAAAATCTAGTTTTAATTTGTCATCTACTGCTTTGATCAATGAGGATTTTTACATAAAAACGCGTTTTTCTCCAAACGTGATTTTTTTATACTCGATGTACCTTTTCTCAGGAATTACTGCTCACAGGTATCTAAACTTTTTATGGCTTATTTATTAGGTTCCCTAACATTTACTGAAATGAGCTTTTTGTAATAAACTTAGAAAAAAAATTTTAAAAAAAAATTTTGTGTGAGAAAAGTGCTAAATTTTACTATGCCTAAAAAATATCCTGTAATTTACTCTAAAATTCAAAATGTTTCAAAAGCTCATTTCAGTATAATCAGATAAGCATACTTTAATTACAGAAAAAATTTCAAGCTTGTATCTACAGCAGATTTTGAGAAAAGATACATCGAAAATGGTCAATTTAACATTGTCGTTATAGGGGTTTCTGACACTCCTTAAATAAATCCTTTTATTAAATCAGAATTTGAGCATAAATGCACGTGCCATGGTTGACAAAATTAGACAACACTTGTGGCGATGTAACTAAACATAACAATAATTTCAGAATTTAAACTTAATAGTAGAAGGTTACACAAGTGATTTTACGAAGAGACACAAGTGATTTAACTCCAGGAGAACTTTGAAGACGCGAAGTTGACTTAAACTTTTCACCGGCATAACAGTTTAAAATGATGGCAGCAATAACGCAAAGTCGAATAATTAAATCTTATCACAGATGGCTAAACCTAGTAACGTGGCCCTGAGAGGCAGAAATCTTACAGTCCATAAAACCTTAGCTTAAATACTTTTAACCTAATTCATATTCTGGTAGGGAAATGGAAAGGAGAAGTGATGGTACAGGCTGAAATTATAAATAAATGATTAAATAAAATAATAATAACCTTACAAGTTTACCATTAAAGTTTCAAAAAGCTTAAAAACGTTTAAGAAGTTTGAAACCGTAAGCTTAAAAATAGCAATCTAATTTTATTTTGCAGATTTCAATTTAGAAACTGAGATAATTCATGCTAAGAATTTTCGACAGACCTGCTAGTTTAAGGACTAGTTCCCTATAAATTGAGCTAGTTTAAGGACTAGTTCCCTATAAATTAAGTTAGTTTAAGAACTAGTTCCCTATAAACTGAGCGTGTGGAGTAATAAAATCTTACATTAAAACAAGCTGTTTCAAATGAGAAAGCCAACAGAAGGAAAAAAATGGCTACAATATTATTTTATCGGAAATTAACTGCACGTAGAAACTTCTAAAATTGTTTAATAACGAAAAGACTTAATTATTCAAGATGTAACTTTGTTCATATCTCACTGCATTCAACCTCATAAAACCTGCAGCAAACATTTTCCTCAAACGGAAATACTTCCTGTTTTGGCCAGATACATACTTCGCAAACTGAAAATTATAAACACCTGCCTCAAGAAGAAGAAGGTTTTTCTTCGAGGTGTGTAAATGATGTGTGTAAACAACGATGCTCTTAGTTGACGGTAATTCTCAAAAATAAGCCATGACGTTCTGTACACAGGAGACTTCTGCGTGAATAAAACACCTGATTCGTGCTTCGGCGAGTAACTTGCGCCAGAAACAACTGAAGCACATTTTATTCCTGTTACACTGACAAGCTTTTCATAATGTTAAAGGCATTTTATTATTACAACAATGATGCTTAGATCGTATAGTTACAGAGATTACCTTGCAACAATAATAACTTGTAGAAAATAGAGTAGAAGATGTACCTGCCTTCATTTATTCTCTCATCGATCGACGAACGTATGGCTCCCGAGTTCCAGATAGCAACAGCAACAAAACTCCAGCCTTTCTCGGTAGGGTTTTTGATTATGTAATCCAGACATCCATCTGTTATAAGATTGCCTATGTTGCATTCACCCATACGACAGACAGAAGCGCCCCCTTGCAACAAGACATTTGTTTTGCCGATTGTCCATTTACTACGTAATGCCACGTCTTCTTCGTAAGGTTTTAATAGTTCCAATGTCTCTAAATCTAAAGTGAGTATTATTAGATATAAATTTAAAATGTTACTTTAATTAAAAAGTTGCATATTGGTCATTTAAGCAGGGAAAAAATAGACAAATAATACAAGAATTAAACAAAATTTCACGCAGACTGAGTCAGAAATGCTGAAATACACATTTAAAGTAAATGTAATGATCTACACTGTATTTTAGGTAAACATAATGAATTGTATGTTAAACTTCAAGCTTTTTTTTTTTTTTAGTCCAAAGGGATTTGAATCCCTAAGGACTAGTAGTTTCGTTTTGGCATTTTGCGTCGGACTCATAAATGTCGGTTCACTTTTCAAACTGTTGCCACAAAATGTTAGAGTCCTGCATTATATTTGAAGAAATTAAATAATGAAAAATCTGCGTAAATGTATGTATATTTCTCGCATTGTCATAAAATAACGGTACATAGAGTCATCGAATTTTGAATAACGTAATCCTCCAACGAATATGAGCATGTGGAAGACCAAATTTGAAATTTGAAATTTGTTTTATGATCGATTTCCTATTTTTTAAAACTTTGACGAATTTTTGATTAACAAACTCAAGGATTTCAAAGCGAGCAATGGCAACGTTGTGCAGAAAAAACATTTTTATCTCCAGCGCGTGAGTCTCTGTATCGGAAATTCTAAAGATATGCTCGTTTTAAAACTATTTTGCGATATTGCTGTTGCACTGGATCTTATGGTTTAAGTGCGAGGAACATGATATTTAATAAAGAAAGGTAACACACAAAATGTTAAAAAACGCCCCTTTGGACGTAATTTAAAATCTGAAACATTTCCTCCCCCCCCTCATTTCAGGTAAGACTTCCGTTGTAGAGAGATTAGGTATTTTTTGAAAGCAGGAGAGATGAAAAAGGATCAGTGCCCTTGCCGGGACTCGAATCTAGGACCTCTCGAATAAGCGCCGAGTGTGCTGACTATTACACCACGAAGGCATGCAGAAAGGCAAGAGAAATACATTATAAGTTTACACATCACTTTTAAAAGCCTTGCGCTACAAATTACCCAAGTAAGTAAATTTCCATAACCTGTTATATAATTAGAAACATTATTAAACACTTAGAAACTTTTGCTGTTTAATTAAGAAATTTTATTTGGAAATCAAGCTGAATTCTCATTTATTTAACATGCAAAATTTCAGAATGAATTTCTGCTGACCTTCCGGTACTGAGGCGTTTAGGAGCATGGGATTCCCACCCCAATTTTGGATTCTTCCTTGGTTATCAAATTCGACTTGAAGGTAACCCATGTATTTGCCAAAGGCAAAGTCCTGTACTACAAGAGCGAGGGATCCATCTTCTCTTTCTACAACGACAGGATAGGGACCCTGTGGTTCTTCTACGGAAGGCTTTTTACCTTTGGAAGAAAAAAAAAAATTCAAACATTATATTATATACTAAGAAATGCTATATATCACACATTGAATATAATCTTATCATATAATTATTTATAGCAAGTAAAAATTATATGGTTGTTAAAATATGGAGTTTCTAGTTATTCTTCTTAAAATATTATGCTGTAATTAAAGCTGTAATTAAAGCTGTTTTTCTGCATAAAATATTTCTCACATAAGACGAATATACTGTAGTGCATATTGTAATGTGTCTATTATAGTGCGTAATGTAATGCTTTTTCTTTAAAAAATTAGAAAAAAAAAACAAGTAAGCACTATTTTAAAATTAATACAGCGAATGGTATTTTATGCTTCGAATGTTAGTTAATATATGATACACAGTACTGTCTAAGAATTATGGAAATAATTAATAACATATTATTTTTATCGAATTTCCTCTTGAAATCACTCAGGGAGTTTAGGAGAAACTTAGGTGAAAAGCGATATCGTAGCTCCTCCTTCGAAGTATCTTTAAAATTTGTTGATCTATAACACATAATTTTAGAATAATTGCAGAAGTTTCAATTCAGCGTAAACGAAATAATGTAAGAGCAAATACTAGCATATCATAAATTACCGCTTAATGATATTCCACTTGATATTATACATGTCTCAATCTAATTTCTTAGTTTTCATTTTATTTTTAAGCAAACAACTTTGATAAATTAAAATAAAAAGTAAAAATCAATCAATATAAAAAAAAATCATGAATGTTATTAATTGAGAAGAGGATAGTTTTAAATTTGTAGAAAAAAAAATCTGAAAGGTTTCAGATTTTAAATTACGTCCAAAGGGGCGTCTTTTAACGTTTTGTGTGTTACCTTTATTTATTAAATATCATGTTCTTTGCACTTAAACCATAAAATTCAGTTCAAGAGCAATGTCACAAAATAATTTTAAAATGAGTCTATCTTTAGAATTTCCGATACACAGTTCCGCGCGGTGGAGATAAAAAGATTTTTTTTTTTTTTTCGTAGAGTGTTGCCATTGCTCGCTTTAAAATGCTTGAGTTCGTTAATCAAAAATTCGTTAAAGTTTTACAAAGTATGAAATCGATAATAAAACAAATTCCAAATTTCAAATTTAGTCTTCCACATGCCCATATTCGTAGGAGGATTACGTCATTCAAAATTGGACGTCTCTGTGTACCGTTGCGTTATCACAATGCGAGAAATATACATACATTTATGCAGATTTTTCATTATTTAATTTCTTCAAATATAATGCAGGACTCTAACATTTGCTGGCAACAGTCTGAAAAGGGAAACGGACAGTTTCCCTTTTCAGATATTCAACACAAAATCGCAAAACGAAAACAATAGTCCTTCAGGAACAAAGCACCTTTGGACTAAAAAATCTTGAAACTAGTTAGAAATTGAAATTTGGTCCTGGTATGCAGATTTCAGTTTAGCACCGGACATAATTTCAAGAGATAAACAATTAACCCTTTCCGGTACGCTACCTTTTAAAATTGGAGTTTTGATTTAAAAAAAAAAAAAAAAAAGTAGGCAGTCTAATCAGGCCTAGAGGAGTACACAAGTAAAATTTTGTGAAGATAGCATTTGTGAAGATTTTGTTGTTTGACTTCTGAATTAGTATAGCACTTATCGTTTAATTCTATGGGTGTACCCAAAGTGGGCACACTGATTGAATAGAGCTTCGAAAAGAGTGCTGAAACGAGCATTGTTGTCAATGAACTGACCGATGAGATGCGGAGAAACAAAGAATACAGACTCTCAGTCGTCCTAGATTATCGGTGAGCCCGATCTACACCTAGGGTTCGCCGTTTGATTTTAGGCAAGATTTCAAAGTAAAAATTTAAAACTAATATATAATAAGGAGATTAGCATACAGCCAAAAAAAATAACATAGAAATTCTTTTTCAAACAATTCCTTTTATACCCTAAAAAAAATCTGGAAGATTTCTTTGAAATATGAGGGTCTTAAAAACTTAATTATGACTAAAATATATGGACTGGTTTGTGTTGACTGCCATCTGCTATAAATAAAGAAGGTTCAGAGTAACCTATAGTAACTTATAAATCCGTTTTCATTCAATTTTTCTGTGCGCACAGAAGGGGTAAAGGTAAAAGTAAAAGTATGGGGGACACCAGCGATGTACCATAGGTCAACTGGTAATGCCTTCCCATACTAACTCTTTAAAAAAAGGGGGGAAATTGCTAGTTTTATAGGAATTTACATAGACTGAAGCTTTCCAAAAGGTCTAGAGTTTGCCTATTATGGTATATCGTGCAATCCCGCACTACGCCCCGCATCCAGTATTTATTAAAAATAATGATATAGGACATAAGTAAATTACAAAATAGTCGGAATACAATTTGAGATTCACAAAACAAATTGAACATCTAATTTGGAGCAACAAAAATAGAAGATAAACATAATTAATAAACAGATAAGCATAATGAGATAATGATAATTAGTACTGACAACACAATGTTAAAATGAATTGTAATAATAATGCTAAAGAAGTGGGTGTCCATGGGTTATTTAAGATATATTGGTTTATTGCAGTTTATAAAGTTCACGAGCGGAGCCATTTTGTCCATAATCACAGCATGTAAAAGTTCACTAAGTTTAAACTGTATGTGGACTGGTACCTGACAGAGATCTAGGCCGTAGGAAGAGAGTCGTTGCATAATTTTCTGAAACTTTGGATACTGATGTTTATCTTTAATTAAAAACCTTTGGAATGCCAGGAGATCAGTTCTTGGGGATTTTATGTGAATATCCTCAGTTAAGGGGCATGAGAAAGTGTAATGATCAGGAGTTCCCTGTTCCCGACATATACAGATATCAGAATTTGCCAAATTTCTTGCGTAGAAATATGTGGGGAAGGGTCCATGTCCTGTTATAAAGTAATTTAGTGAAGAATTCGAGTACAGAGGTGCGAAGCTTACATTGGGGATCAAGTTATATGTGCGTCTTCCCTGTGGAGCATTGTTCCACAAATCTTGCCAAGATTTTGAAGCAAGTTGTTTTAGTTGGTACTTGAAATTTGAGCGAGGCCACGGAATGATGATTTCAGTACCATCTTGATTAATAGCTGCTTCTTTGGCTAGTTCATCTGCCTGATCATTACCAAAATGGCTTTGATCCATGAAATTACCAATTTTTGATCCATGAAATTTGAATTTTGTAGTTTGGAATTTTGCCAAGAAGAGAATTTATGTCAGATATTAATGGAGAGGAAGGTAAGGGATTCTTAATAGCTAGAATAGCTGCTTGGGAGTCAGATTTTATGCTAAATTCGTTGAGATTTTTGAGAATGTCTATTTCATTCATAAATCTGCTTAAACTTACTGAACGTTTTGCTTTTATAGCTGACAATTCCGCTTGGAAAACTCTATTATTATTTCCACACCGGACACATTGTGCCCCAAAGGGTTAACCCTAATAATTAATCTCTTTAGTAATTCAAGATACACGGAGGCTGTTAGCAAATTTTTTAGACGATTTATCTTTGCTATAAAAACTTTGTCTACATGGAATATTTTTAACTGCAATTATATTTTACCATGTATAAATTATCCTTTGTTACTTGCTAATTTAGACTTCATAAAAAAATGGCGCTTTTAAAGTAGCAATAAATGGAGGGCTATGTGTGTGTTCTTTCCGAAGAAAATTATTTGTATCTGATTATTAAAATATGCTTTGAAAGCCAAGATTTTTCGATATCTAAAGCTACGGTAGATAATATTATTCAACAAGAAAGGAAAAAAGTTGAAGTGTGGCTTCAATTAGAAATATTGTTCCAAATACCTATCCAAGCAAAAAACGGAATGTTTCTAATATTGCAAAGGCAAGACCTTTAATGTTAAAAGTGAATCCACCAAATCGAAGAACAGTTTCCAAATCTTCAAAATGCTCAGTGTCAACTGCAAACAAAGTGACTAAAGCTGAATTAATTATCGTAGCTTCTACCTTCATAGAAAAACAAGTATCTTAAAAATTTGTTAATCCATAACACATAATTTTAGAATAATTGCATAAGTTTCAATTCAGCGTAAACGAAAAACTGTAAGAGCAAATACTAGTATATCATAAATTATCGCTTAATGAAATTTCGAAAAGGCTAAAAATATAATGTATATCGTCTTTCTCCACGACTTATCGTCAAACGCAGATGGCGCTGCAGAATTCTTCATGAGAAACATTTATCCAGATAAAAATGGAAAAAGGTGTTGTCCCAATAAGTAAGTCTTATATTTAAATTACTGAAATAAAAAGAGATTTATTTATTATCATCAAAGAGGAGTAAAAAATATTAAAATATGGTTCAAATATTCTAAAGAAAGTTTTTGAAATGGATGTACGATTTTGCTGGTTTTTCATATAACGGCAAATTAAAAATAAACAGAGGGAAGAAAAATGTCAAGACCAAATCACATGTTATCAGGAACATATTTTATACCCAATTTTCAAATATGAAATAACTTCTCTTTACCCACAGTGCCATCAGTCAGTAGAACTGCATCAAGACAAAACAAGCAGCCGCACATCCAAATCCACTCTTAATTTCCTGGATAAAAAATGGAACAAGAAAGGTATCTAGGCCATACCCCTCATATCTCTCGAATATCTGCTGATGGACTTTTGCGTTTAGGACTTTTAAAAAGTAGATTGTCCAAACGTCGATCTACAACCCTCCTTGGAGTTTGGAAAGCTGTTTAAGAGGAATGGGATAAAGTACCTCTTCCCAATACTCCAAATTGCTTTATTGTCTTGGAAATCACGGTGCGAAAAGAAAGTGAGGTTAAGGAGAAAGATAATGAGTGATAAGGGTTATCAAATAGCTCATTTTAAACACAAAAATTGTAGGTAAAATATTTATGTAAATACAATGAAAATTTTCTAAAACATTTGCCAAGAGCCTCTCTAGAACATAACACGTACAAATGAGCAGGATACCAGAATTTCGCCGTAGATTGTACAGGTAGAGTCCCACAGCTCTACTTGTTCAACCTGTATTTATGTCTCAATAACATTATGTTTCGGCTACGAGGGACTTGACGTCGAAGGGACAATTCTCAGAACTTTTCCAGGAAACCCACGTAGCTAGATTACCATTTTCACTTACTACAAAGACTTGAACGCCAAACAGTAATCCATTATCGCTCAGACTGGGATCACGTGAACCATTCAGAAGCAGAACTTTTGTCTGATTGGTTGATCTCTACGCGGGACAGAGCTTCCGCCGAAACATTTTCGACGAAGTTTCAAAAACTCCCGCGTAGCAGGTACATTGTTTCTGTAGCTAGGCGGAACTTCTCTTCTCTTTTTTTCTAGGAATCCTCCCGTTTAAAGCAGTGCTACCAGAATCTCGTTTCTCAAAATAACCCCGACTAGCAGTGGACCGTCGCTAGATGTGATAACCTCTTTTACACTACTTAACAGACAAAGTGTAACACCATAAAACGTTTACCGTAATATTACGCTAATTGTACGGAATATGTAGCTGCCCGGTTTGTTGCAAATTATTTTTTGCAAGTTTTTGCAAAATGATTACAAAAGAAATTCGATCACATGGTTAGTAAATAAGGTAAAAAGAAAAAAAAATCTGGTTACATAGAAGAATAATTTTGTAATCAGATAACAAAGTGCATGCATGACACAATTAAAACAAAAGACTCACCTGTGTATAAGAAAGTGTTTGTGTGCCCTCCTATGACAATATCTACTTCTGGTACTTCTCTAGCGATCATTTGATCAACCTTGAAACCAGAATGTCCAACTGCTATGATCTTTGTTAAATTTTCAACTCTCGTTAGTTTTTCAGCCTCTCTCTTAATGCATTGTACTTCATCTTCAAATTCTAAATCACCTGGAAGGAAACTTCTAAATTTTATGAAATGATCGAAGCAGAATACAATAGCTAGGTTACCATTTTCAATAACTTTTATCTGGAATAAAAGAAAAAAAGAATACATCGGTGAGGTCTGTTATGCATTTGTAATAATAAACGAATTCTGCATTTCATCTGTTTTTCGAATAATTAATTCATGACGTTCAGTAATGTTAAAGAAAAGATCTTCTGTCAGTTTAAATTTTTCGAATTATTCTTATTTCGAAAGGAAAAGAACCTGAGAATTAGTTGCAAATAAAAAAATAAGGATGCAAAATAAGATTTTACAAAATAAGGATAATTAAAATTAGATTATTTTTATTCATAGAATACGTGAAATTGATCGAAAACAGGTGAGAACGTTCAGAAATAATTTTTCAAGAGACGAAAATTCACCTGTGCTCAACCCCAGTTTACAGCTTGAAATTAAACTAAGAAAATGCTGCATATCTATAACTATTTGATCTAAAAAAGGCTCCATATCGGAACATTGTTTGTTTTCGACATATACTGGAGACATATTACGATAAAAATTAACGGAAATACATAAAAGATTATTGGAACACATGGATAATATAACTCTAACTTACTATTAGTGAAGTAACTATAGAAAACTATTTTCATTATCGTAGTCTTCAAATATCTCTACTTAGAAGAAATCGTATCTCATATCATGATTGACTATCGAAAAATTTTCAAGCAGCTTCCTATAGATTTCCATAATTTCATGTAGACTATGAGTATAATCGGTTCCATAGTCAAATTTACCATCAGGTCATCGGAAACGCAGCGACAGAATGAACAATTCCGGTAGTTATAGGCGAAAACGTCTGAAACTGTAAAGGTAACATATTGTTACGAATTTTGTACTTATATGAATAATGTTAGTGAAATTATAGAATATCTTTTTCTTTTTAATAATGTAACATGGAAATTTAAAGAGGAGATGCCTTGCCGAAAAAGTAATAATATAGGGGCAAGTCAATTTAACATAGTAGATGGCTATCTCGCTAAATTGGAGAGATATCGCCAAGCTGGCAGTGATTTTGTAGTTTGATTTGGCGAGAAGTCGTCAAAAGCCGCCAAACTTGACAGCCATTTGGCGACATTTTGGTTCGGTCCTTGTATCTCTGTAATGAATATTGCAACTGAATAACTGTAATTGACTCTATGTAGCTGTAATTGTATCCGGCCCTCCTATGCCTTTTAGCAATTTCGAGAAGTACTAGCCGGGAGAAAACTATATAAGACCGAGGAAAGCATCGTTTTTGAATATTATGAACTTATGAGTGCTAATTCCTGTGCTTCCGCTGATAGGACGATCAAATCACATCACCGTGACCATACTAGTGGCTTTACTGTGCTCTTAGTAGCTTCTCATAATTAATTAGTCCAACAGTAACTTTTATGCTGCTTATGAACATATGTAAATATCACTAACAATTTCATTTACTTTGCTATTTTATTCTATTCTGTTTGATTTATGTACGTATTAAATCTGGATTCACTATTGCGACGGGAGAGAGTGTAACTTGATTATGAACTTCTGATTACCAAGTACTTTGATACATTTTGAATTATACAATGTGATGAGAACAAGAACGTTTCAATGCAGACCTCACTCTAGTACTTTAAGAAAATAGTTTTCATATTTTATTTTCTATATGAAAACACTTTTTTCAGTTTTATTACTGGGGTGTATCCACCAATCCTATGCCGTTCGCTATTACACGCGACTATTGGTCACGCCCCCTTTCACCAATTAGCCTGTCCCCCGGACCTATGTTCAACATTCGCTTACCTGATACATGATGAAGCATGATTTTAAGACAGTTGGAACAAAGCATGCAGCATGCATGCTATTCGCGGCACATTCATCGGAACTTGGAAGTTTTTGAGTATTTGTTAGTTCACAGCTGAATTCCAAGTGCTGAGATATCCGTGTCGGCTTCGCTCTTTATATGTGTTTTGAAATGTGTTGTGCTTAACATTCTCGGTAGTTTTAAGTGCAATTACTGAGAGTATTTTTGTGGAAATTTCTGGAAATGGGAAGTATTTCTTTTGGCCAAACAAATTTTACCAAGCTGTCATCAATTCTGTCTGCCCTCAATCTATTACGAAACCGTACGAACACAACACTATTTCACCTAATTGAAGTTAACGGAACTTAACATCCTAAGGTAGTTTAGCTACAGCATAAAGGATATTGTTTTAAGGATCTGATCGTATTTTAAGGATCTGATTGGTTCAAAATCTCTTTGTAATCTTGTCTATGGCTTTTTCCCTCCCTCTCTCTTCCGTCCTTTCGGCCATCACATTGTGTACCTGGAACTAGGTGGAGCTTCAAATGAATTTTTATCTTAGAGCTTCGCCTACTAAAAATTCTTGCCTTAAGTTGAAGATTTCGAACTATAGCACCGCGATGATGGAGATCAATACTTGCAATACAAGGAAATAATACAAGATTCCTTTACGTCACTGTAATACATTATAATAAGTACCGTGTTTGCTGGCATACAAGGTGAAAATAGATCTGAAAACTGGGTGTGTCTAATACGTCGATATTCAGCTTTTGATTGCATTCATTTCCGGAAATTTCTGCTATTCGGAGTTATGCGGTTTTTTTCTTGTTTCCTTGCGGAGTGTGGAAATATTACAGTTACGTAGAGTTCTGTGAATGCACATGCTCTGTCATCGACGATCACAGCTGGGTTCATTTAAGATTTACAATTTTTGTGAACCACTTTTAAGTGTATGAAATTTCTACTGTTGAGTTTTCTTAAATTTGTTGTCAAGGTTAAAAAACAACGTCGACATTACTATAACACAGCATACAAGCTACGTGTGATTACGTATGCTAAAGAACATGGAAAGAGGTCTGCAGAGAGGCATTTCGGGCAACCCCCTACTGAGAAAATGATAAGAACTTCGCAGAATTATAATGATCAGTAATAAAGTTTTATCCTTCAAAAATGTGCATAAAAAAGGGGGTGCGTCTTATACACCGGCAAACATGGTAATTCAAATATTTAATTAGTTCTTTAGCATAGAACAACGTACCACAGTAAATATATTAAAACGCCCAAAGTCCAGCTCTCTGACGAGTAAGGATGAAACAAATATCAAATGTTGTATTTATTGCAGCGGTATATTACGAATGGGAGAGACGTTCTTAACTAGTTCTATAAAAAATTATATGTGGTTGCTACAGTACATTTCTCCGTTTTAAAGACATTAACACCGAAAAATTATTTAAACAAATAACAATGCCGTGGAACTCTTTTTTGAAATAGAAGAATGCACATTACCTTTACAGCTTTACGAAAGTTTGCTTTGGATTATTTGATCCTCAAGTTACTAACTGTAAAGATGCTACCAGCTACTTCATTTTTATAAGTTTTATCGAAATATCAGAAATAATCTTGGCTGCGCTGTTGGAATATCAAAGTTTTCAATATTTAAGTTCTGTCTGAAGAAGCTTAAAAGTTTCTATGTGGATCTGAAAGCACATGTGTTTTTTCCGAAGAATATTTAAATAGAGAAAACGCTGTCAAAAAACATAAATAGACTTAGACGTAGACTCTATAATAGACCGAGCTATTGCGAAGAGCAATGCTGCCGGTTCCAGAATTAAAGCCCAAGGGCACTTGATATAAAGAAATCCGGATGTGGAAAAAATCTCAGATGACAAAACGGAGAAAAGGGGTAGAAAACATAAATATCTGCTTTAAAGTGTTAATGTTACATATTCTGTTACTAAATTACTGTCTATCATTTCAATTTTAAAATACTTCTTCAATGGCAAGGAGCTTCCTAGAAGACAAATAAACTCCACGTGGAGTTCAGAAGATTACCATTTGAGCTTGAAAGTTAATAGAATACACATGTGGAATATTTTTACACAAGGGGATAACATTTTGCTATGACATCGTCAAACTCTAGTAGGATATAGTGCTAGCAATTTCCACAGTCTACCGCCAGAGGGCGTCATGATATTAAAAGATATTAAAAGCATTTGTAATAAAAAAAAAGAGAGAGATAAGGAATGTAACTACGGCGACAGACGATATTAATTACTCATGCACTTTTTAAAAGAGTAGTAGAATAAAGTATAATAATGATGTTGGTTGTGAATTTCTGTCCTGTTAAATAATAATGCAAAACCAAAAAGATACGCACAGTGGATGTAAGAGAAAAATCCTGACTCCAACAATAGTATAATAAGCACATAATTTTATTTAATCCTTCATATAATAATCGCTAGATTGATCTCGTCATTCCGCAAATCACAGCTAAACCTTGAACTGAAAAGAACGGGCAACGTACACAGAGTTTATGGCTCAGCGCCAGAGCCAATGCAATTGGTGCGACCTTAATGCACTGCAAAAATACCTAGGCACTAGTTGGCAGAAAGGCAACAATTGCACAAAGTTCCTAAGTATATATTGTGATAGAAGAAAATCGGAAATACAGACTTTGTAAATTCATAATTAGACTTCTGTCTATCGGAAAGTGGCAAATTTGAATGTTTTCACAAGAGCTTAAATCATCTTAAAAGCTATGCTGAAAATTAGCTTATAATTTAAACTACTAGTAAAGTTCCGCTTTATTCGATATTATATACAGCTACACAAAACTTATTCCGTTTCGAGAATCTGTTTATCTGCAGCTTAAAATGCATCAAAATGCTTATTGAGAGAGTATATGCGATATTTCATAAAACAATACGTGATATGAAGAATTTCAATGAGTATCAAAAACGTGTGTACAACATAAGTAACATACCGTTGCGAAATGCCTAGCTGCGGTGAGATAGCTTCCCTGCAAAGCAGAGTTAGGGTTGCCAGAAAGAGGCGGAGAAAGGCAAGGTACCAGGTTTGGCACGAAATCGACCATTTGGCGATATTTGGTGACATGCCATAACGGAGAGAGAACATTTCACAGCGCATTTTTAGCGGTTTTCTCGGGAGTGTTCTCGAAGGTAGGTTAAAGCTAAATATACTCTGTCTGTAAATGGATGAAGTAGTATCTAAAGTTCAGAGATTAGCTTGAGAGCGATTGATCGCATCGGGAGCTGTACTTTAGTGCTTTGCCGTGAAACTATCTTCATCGCTACAGCTTGAAGGCTGTTTTGCTGATTGCTTCAGCGTGTTTGTCGTAGTTTTTCGACGAGTGTAAACGTGTCTTTGGAACTGTCCTGAGTAATAGTACTTACTGGGGAATAAACATTGTTTTGATTCTTCATCAGGTGTTATCATCAATTACTCCAAATCCACAAACCCGTAGAACGTAACAATGCAAATATTAAAATGAGAATGTGAAGCAGTAGGATGTCTTACCTGGAGAAGACAAAAATTTCGTGTCAGGAGTAAGGTAACCAATGACGCCGATTTTCTCACCAGCAACATCTATTACTATGGATGGTCGGATGAGTTCTCCAAATTCAGGTACTTTAGTTGCATTCACGTTGCAAGCCAGAACAGTCGTGTTAACGTTCTCAAGGAAAGGAAGAAGTCCTTCAAGACCGTCATCGAATTCGTGGTTTCCCAGAGACTACGCTGCGAGAAAAGAACGCATATTGCAGCTCATCTAAAAATTTATCATAGATATTATAAGCTTATTTTCAGAAGAAATACATAATCACTGCTTTCGGGCGTTTGCCTTAATTGAATCAATAAGCAATGGATCCATTCTCCTGTTTCACCTCACCTCTTTCAGAAGATGCAAATTTTAGTAGCAGACAGAACTGGCTGTAAGAATTTTCTCTATCCAAGCAATAGCATATTTTGCCCCATACTCACCAAGTATATGTTAATCGTAAAGATTGTGGTAATTTTACCACACCCAAAATCTACAGATCCGTGAACATGCATGAGTTATGCCATGGGGAGAGTCGGCCCTAATGCAGCGTATTCAAGGTTACATTGGCGTAACTGTTAAACAATATCTAGTTTAACAGTTACGCCAATGTAATGGAGTTGGTTTCGCCGGAACGAAATGGAGTTATTTTTGAACAGCTGGTCTGGACACACCTAAAAATGTCCTTCTCTATGCACAGAAAAATTGAATGAAAAAGGATTTATAGGCTACTATAGGTTACTCTGAACCTTCTTTATTTTTAGTAGATGGCAGCTCAGCACAAACCAGTCCATATATTTTAGCCATGCTTGGTTTTTTAAGACCCTCATTTTTCAAAGAAATCTTCCAGATTTTTTTAGGGTATGAAAGGAATTGTTTGAAAAGAAATTTCTATGTTATTTTTTGGCTGTATGCTAATTTTCTTATTATATATTAGTTTTAAATTTTTACCTTGAAATCTTGCCTTAAAATCAAACGGCGAGCCCTAGGATGTGCCCAGGACCGGGCTCACCAACAATCTAGGAACAAGCTGAGAGTCTGTATTTCTTTGTTTCTCCGCATCTTCATCGGTCAGTTCATTGACAACAATGCTCGTTTCAGCACTCTTTTCGAAGCTCTATTCAATCAGTGTGCCCCTTTGGGCACACCCACAGAATTAAACGATAAGTGCTATCTTCACAAAATTTTACTTGTGTACTCCTCTAGGTCTAATTAGACTGCCTACCTTTTTTTCTTTTTTATCAAAACTCCAAGAAGGTAGCGTGCCGGAAAGGGTTAATTCGAAGTTCTGTCTATAGCTGGCAAGATGAAGGGGAGTAGTAACTTCAAATTAATATTGTGTTAACACTTTAAATGTTTGTGAGAGGGAAAACTGAGCCTATGACATCTCAGTTAATTTATGTAGTTTGCGACATACAGCTTACGGCCACGCTTAACACTGCGCAACTGTATTATCTCTTGCTCCCATGCTTCTAAACATAAATTAGTCTTATAAGATGGAAATAAGTAAAATAAATATAGAAGAGGACAGAAAGGAACCTTGCATTCATAGCATCAGCGCTGCGCAGAATCGATGCAACTCAGGATCGATACTGTATAGTATTGAAACGATGTAGAATAAACTTCGGCGTATAATCGATATGATTAAAATGAAACTTTGGATAATTACGTAGTAAAAGGTAAGAGGAACAGTTCACATTTATCACACAACATAGCTGTCATACGCATTCAATCATCTCTGCATAGATTTGACACTACTTACATTGCACCGATACGGAGCAGATAGTTTCAAGCATAGACCGGACACTGAATCCATACGGGCATCTAATCGGCATCGACACGGGATCGACATGGAGTAATATCAAACTTTGCATCGGTATATTATCTATACAGTGTAAAATCGACGGCATAAGATCCAAGTGACGATGTGGCACAACATTATAATGGCACACAACATTTGTATTGGCATGCAATTATTGGTACCGACATTGATCATTAACATCAAAATAAAATCAACATTGCCATAAGAGATGAGCAATCTGCTCATGAATTCATTCAAAGAACCGATAGGTGAGCTGTACTTTGTCAAAATAAAGCGGTAGCTTCTTTAGAGTCAAAATGGAACGGCAGGGAAAGGCAAAATGCCAGGTTTGGCAGGAAATCGCCCATTTGGTCATATTTGGTCCAACATCGACAGCTGTTGGAAGCGTAATCGGGAATGTTCGATTCCAGTTTTAGAGGAGAAAGAAAAGGTAGTCCTTCCATGCAAAATGTGACTTTAATTTTTATCATTTTTCAAATTTCTTAACATTTTTTATTCCAGAATTTTATTGTTAGTTCTATGTAGAAAGTAGGATTAAGATGATCTTCAAAACTGCAGTTGAAAGAAATCAGTCCAATGAATAAGCGTTTGGATTAAGTCGATTCATCCTCCCACGACGCTCTTAATCTTCTCTTAGTTCCTAAGCTTGTTCATCAAGTTTTATTATTAATGAAGATGAGCTGGAAAAAGCAATCAATTCAACTGAGTGATCATATAAAGGTGACCTACCAGAGGTCGAGCGACAAAGTCCCTGAACATTAGTAGTTTGGACCTGTCTTTGATTCCAGGTGAACGGACTGACTGCTAGGGCGTTTTCGTGGTTTTCTCCATGTGTAAAGTGTATACGAGTCAGTTTCCCTATGAAAGCATCTCTCCCCTCAGGCAGATAATCCTTGTGTCCTTTGCCATAATTAAGCAAATCAAACCAAACCAAACCAAACCAAACGTAACAGATAAAGGAGGAACCCAAGTATCTCTAGTTAAATAAGGTGAACACTTATCTATGAGAGACATAATTTGTGTAATACAGTAAGACCCCGCTTAACGCTGTTTCGTTTAGCGCTGTTTCGGTTTAGCGCTCTTTTATTTCAACCCGGGGATTCCACGAAATCGCTCGCAGCATACGGGGATTCCCCGAAATATTATGCAGCGATAGGTTTCAAATACATATCCGAAAGAGTGTACCTGTATTTCTTGTTTGGTGCGGTATTGTACAGACATATTTTGAAGGGGTAAATGTGGAAGATGTCGAAGAAATAATTCAAGAAGCAGCGGCTAGTCTTTCTAATGATGAGCTCAAGGAATTAACTGAACAAGAAGAAAACAAAAATGTTGACAGCAGTGATTCAGAAGAAGAGCAAAAAGAACTTTCGATGACGTTTGTAAAAAGGAGTTTGTCTACCATAACTGAAGTAATGGATCAATTCATTGAAAATGATCCGAATTTTGACAGGAGCTCAAAAGTAAGGCGTGGTGTTAGAGATGCTCTATCCGTTTATGAAGAACTTTTAAGAGAACAACGCAAAAGAAAAAGGCAAACAACATTAGATGCTTTTTGTCACAAAAAAGGCAGCAGAACGCTGAAAAACGCGGAAGGCTAACTAAGTATGATTGACTTAGAATTTATTTGTTTTTTAAGAATATTCGTTTTTGTTATTTATATTTTGTTTTTATTTTTGCAAGAAATAATAATGTGGTATTAATTTGGGCTTTAAGAAATAAATGTTTGGTTTTATTTTTATTAAAAAAACATACTTTTTAAATTTAATACCTAACCAATTTCCTAGCCATCTTCCCCTAACCCCAATATCTACATGTAAAGATAGCCTCGTTTAGCGCTGTTTCGTATTACGCTCTACTTTGATGGAACGTATCCCCTGCGTTAAGCGGGGTCTTACTGTATGCATTTACTTGACTTTAATCCAATACAACGAAGCAACAAACCGAAGCCAACACCGGTATGAATACGTTTGAGTTACTATATTGAATTAGGTGAATTTTACTTAACTCAATATAGTGAATGACTGCCGACGTGTTAAAGTACGAAATATGTAAGTGAAATCTAATTTTTGATGCGGTTATAAGATTGCTTTGTATGGAACATCACATCAGGTCTAAAATATGTTATGACAAAAAGGTTTCATTAAATCAGTTTCGAATTTTTGTCTTATTGTTTATTCTGCTGTACTGTTTGTTCTCTTGTCATATCTATTTTGAGAACAAAATACTGGAACATGGAGTAAAAGAAAACTTATAAATAAATCCATGGTTGGCTACCCTCTAAATTTATCACGATTTCTTCTCAAAGTTGACAAGAAAAGTAAAGCTTCGAAAAGGAATCAGATTTATTGCGTGAGAAAACAAAATATTTTCTTTTACCCTTGAATGACCTTGAACGTTTTTGGCTTCCAATAAAACTCGAACCCAGAAATAAATTCAACGAGTTTCTGTGTTGCATTATTGTTCAAGGTTTATGACGAAATTCTCTGGTGCAATTTTGTAAGCTGCTGTCTTCTGTAGAAAAAAGTAAAGGAATAAATTATTATTTCAGATGTCTTGGGTGAATTAATTTCAAATCTATCACAAATAACGCTTGTGGATGCACGTATTCTTACGTTATCTTCAGAGGCGTCAGAAATACACTTGGTAAAATGAAACATCAAAAGACACGGAAAAACATACAGAATTTAAGCATAATTGTGAATTCACCTAAAAATGAATAAACCAATTTGAAGGTCCAGATGCAAAGAGCAGCCGCTTCCCCCCCAAAAAAATATTTAGAAAGGGTTTAAATTTTAACTGTCTCTCAAAAGCTTTCTTTTAAACTTTAATATGGTTTATCATTGAGATCATCAATAAAGATAACCCAGGTGGAATAGTGAAACATTTTATAAAATACTAAAGGACCTATTAATCAATACTATTTAGACTAACATGGGAACTTTACATATTAGTGGTTCTTACCAAATTCTTTGTAAATTTGTTTCATAAATTAAACAACAAAAAACACAGAAAATATAGATAAATACCAAACTTAAATAAAAGTTGTATCATATATTCATAAATTATAACTTAATATTTAACAGATAAATTAACCGTTAACTGAATTCCCCCTAAATTCCCTAAAAATATGAATTTCCTGAACTTGTGAAATTCCCTTCTAGGGAGGATTCCCTTCTGGCTAAGAGACCCTGTTGTATATATATTCTGTATATGTGAAAAGTGAAAATATATGTAAACTAATATGTAATCCATTGAAAATATTTAACATTTTTTCAAAATTATTGCTAATAAAATTTCGTAAGAAAGTACATATTTAATATTATATACGATTGTCAGTTACACAAAATACTGCAAATTTGTGCAATATTTTCCGCAATACTTGAATTATTTATTATTTTAAATGAATTATAGACAACGATAACTGTCCAGTTTTTAAAATATAAATCAACTACGCGCATTTTTGGACATAAAAGAAGAATTAAAAATTTCTGGAAAAACAGAAAAAATATAATTAAATTAGTTTTTTCTGCCTTGGCAAATTTAAATATAAAAGTGTAGATAATATTATTGCATTAGTTTAAATATAGTTTGTAAGGTGTATTTTAATTTTATAACAGCTATTTTTAATTTTGAAACACTTTCGTTTCAATTCTTGTTTCCCACAAAAAACTCTCTACCAGAATAAGTTTTTAAAATCGCGTTGAATGTAAATAAGGTAGAAGTAGTATTTAAGGAGGGTAGGGTTCAGTTTACTTCAGTTGGAGAGCTTAGGAATCCTTAGTGGCGATTGTTTGCCGCCAGGCTACTTCGTTCTTAACACAGCTGTATTGTACGTGCCGGTTGATAATCTCCGGCTAAGTTAAATTAAGGGTTAACTACGTTAAGTATTTGTGTCTAGCTTCGGCTAAGTCAGTTTAGTTCAGTATTAGATTAGTTTCTTATTTTTCTTTTAGTCAGACGGAGAGAATACTTTCTGAAAAAAGGGTGCTCTTACAAGGTGTTCCATCAACACTGTCCAGACTCTGTACAGCCAGATTCCTTGTTTGAAATGCATAAAAATGCCCAAAGAACTGTATCTGTAAGTCCTATAGCTTTTGAGATAAATGCGAAAGAAAAGTATGACGTCATATCCGGTGCAAGGTAAAGAATCTTTATTGGAAACATGAACATCGGGATTTGCATATGTTTACTTAGGATATTTAAAATATCCTCCGTGCATATCAAAGACACTCTGTATATCTTACAAATAAGCTGTACCAGTTACCGAGTGGTTAAGACTGCTGAATACTGAAAGTTTGACCCTGGTTTCATCTCTCGCGAACGAGCTGGCTGCATAAATGGCTTTAGTGGTTTTTCCCGTACACATGAATGCGTGTCAGTTTCCTTTACAATGTCCTTCACGAAGATATACATCACTCCTCCCAGACAGACAGCTTTCGTATGCTTTGCCATACTCAGATAGCCCAACTAAACCTATAAGGTATTTCTCCCGCTTTCCTAAAGTGCCTTCGTGGTGTAGTGGTTCTGCACGCTGGGCCGGTATTCCAGAAGTCCGTGGTTCGATTCCGGGCGAAGGCGGTTGCTAATTTTTCAATTCTCTTGCTTCCAAAAAATACCTAATGTCTCTACAAACCTAAAATAACTTAAATGTAAAAATGAAGGCTTTTGTGGAGAACATCGAAAAAGAGGCTTGTATCGACATTCCACACAGAGAAAACTACTCTATCCGAAGAATTGAACCAGAGACTCAACATCAGCAAGCAAACAAGGTTATGCTCTTCTCAGTGTTAGAGTCCAATAACACCACTTGACTTATAGAAGTGGGAGAAAGGAAGACACAAAGGTAGTAAGGATTAAGTTGCTTTCGAGCACTATGAATCAGTGACGTCACAGACTCAAAGATTTCCGGTCGGGAAGAGCAAAACTTGTAATGCGATATCCTTGCCAGTCGTGTCTGACAATACTCAACCGTTTAAGGTATTGGATCTTCGGCTATTAAATTACAGATTTCATAAGAATTTTGAAGCAAAGACAACTGGAAAATGATACTGTACATCATAAAAGTAAATTTGCTCAATAGAATTCATATTACAATCATAAACTGCAAATCAGAATAAGATTTAATTTGCTTTAAAATTTTAAAAAATGGTATTGAAAATAAAAATGTGTGACCTGACCATAGCATCTAAGTTGAGCTGGTTGACCAAATCAGCAACAACACGCCAGCGGTGCAAAGTGTACCATACGGTACCCTGATAAAAGTCGCCTGCATTCAAAAGTAGTACATTCTCTTCATTAGCTCTCACTTTTTTAACCTGAAAAAAAAATTCTGATAAAAACACAAGAGATTTTAATATTTTTACTGATTCAACGACTTAAGTATTTCAATTACAAAAATCCTTTAGTTTCAATACTTTATTGTTTTCGAAAATTCATTTTATACAGTTCATAATTTATTACACTTACAGTATGCATCTGAGTTTACGTAAATATTTTTATACATCTTTAAAAAGTTATAAAACTATAAATATCGAAAGAAGATTTATGTTTAAAAAGTGTTATAATATTCAGTTAGCCGTACAGTATATAATTATCCAAGGATTCCATTTGTCAAGGGTAAATTTTGCATTTTTGTAATAATTAAATTTGCAGTGTTGTTAAACTGTAATAATTAAATAAATTGCCAGTTTAAAAGAGCGTAAATACAATACAGACATTTTTAGATACGCTACAACAATTGTATAAGTGTCAGCTGAAACAAGAGATACACTTTTAAACTGTCCACCTTCATATTTGCGAAGTTTAGTATATTGTTACGTTATTTTCTTCCTTTGGTACGTTACGTAAGAGTTCGTGTGGATTTGGAGTGATTAACGACGACACTACTTTATGAAGTATCAAAACTCCCTTTATTGGCCAGTATTCTTGGGACCTCTCCAAAATCACGTTTACAGTCGTCGAAGAACTACTATAAAGACGCTGACACAATCAGCGACACAGCCTCCAGGTTATCAGGCTATAACAGTGGAGACAGCTTCACTGCAAAGCACCAGAGTACAGCTCCCGACTCTGCTTGGACAAGCAAGGAGAAACCATCGCGGTTTTAAAAGATTGTCATCGAAAATAATGCGATTCAAAATCTTCGCAGTTTTAAAACATTGTCGTCGAAAATATCCTGGTAAAAAAATAAAGCACCCAACAAAGATTCGCATGACGATAACATCGCAGACATGCCTGTTCAGCCTTTATAAAAATTCGCATACTCATGTAACGATTGGTGAGCACAAGAAGGAATGAGGAATATTTTTGCCTTTATATTTCATATTTTTCAATTAATGAATAATTTTTTGCTGAAGTAATGATAAAGAAATTTAAGCATTCAAAAACGGAAAATAAGTAGAAATATAATGCTAGGTATAATAGTTTTTTAAACTTATATAGTTAAATAAGAAAGATTAATTAAATAATTAACATCTTTTATAAAGTTTTACAGGTAATTTTTCATGCAAATGTAGTCTAAAAAAGATTAGAAAAAAGAAAATGAGTAAATGTAACTACTCTATTAAAATTGTTTAATTAATTATCAAATTAAAAAAAATCTGTTAACTTCTGTAAATACCATTAATTTTCTACGTATTTTCCGTTTTTTCTTAAGTTTACTAAGTTTTCTTCTTAATTTTCACAAATCATTATGCGAATATGCATTTACTACTATTTAAGGCTGAAAAACACATGTCTGCGATGTTATCATCATGCGGTGATTTGTAATGCTTTATTTTTTTACCATGATATTTTCGATAATCATGTTTTTAAAATACGAAGTTCCTGAACCGCTTTATATTCGACAGCGATGTTTTGTACTAAGATGTTTTAGAACTGCGATGTTTTCTCCTGGCTTTCTTTTTTCCCACGATGTCTTATACGACGACGTTTTTGCCTTGCTGTGTTTCCTCTGCGACGTTTTCGTCCACGATATCTTCGTTTGTAACACTTTTTACTTCCTTGTACGAAGTAAAGAAAGTATTGTAATCACGAAAAGTTTCGGGTATAATATATGAGCAAAAATAACCGCTCAACCGCTCTCGAAACCATTTGAACGATTTTCTGCGTGATATCTGTACATACGGACAGAAAAAAAAACTTTTTTTGCTAAAAAGATTGTAAAATGGATTCAGAAGATATTTTTTCCTTGACGTCTGTACATACGTATGTATGTATCTTGCATAACTCAAGAATGACTAGACGTAGAATGTTGAAATTTTGTGTATGGGGATGCTATAACATGTAGTTGTGCATCTCCCTTTTTCGTTGCACCCGACTGAACCAATCATATATGAATATATATGTGGGGGGGGGGATATTTTAAGCAGGTAGTTAGAGAGATAGATGCAAAAACCAACTTCCAGATTTGGCCGTTTCGAAACATATTTTTATTCTATGATAATTCACATCAGATCATTTTGGTAGACAAGGTATTAATCCAATCATAGTTAAAAATGATAACTTTTATGGTCACTGGTTTTAAAAGTACGACGTAAGCGTCTTAGACAGCAAAACATAAGCTGCACAAAGATGTTAGCAGGGTGTATGTTAAGGAAAGGAATAACGTAATTGCTTGCGAAGCAGTATTTATACTAAGTAGGTGCGTAAGTATAACTAATCTACGATTGGTTAATTTTGAGTTGCTATGTAACGTGGAAAGATCTCGAATTTGGGAGAACAGGCGAACTTAGGGGAGAACATGATATCTAGAATAGTTAATTTTAAGTTCGCCAATCGTTTCTTAGAGCACCCAACATATTTTATTACATCTTACATATATATATAATTTCATTAGAAACTAATTAATAAAATTAAACTAAATTAAATAAATCTCTTGCGCCAGTGCTGCAAGGAACGGATTTTTTGTTAAATTCATATATATATATATATATATATATTATCATCTTAGCTTTTTTATTCTTACATGTTAGTTAACTGCGCATTTTTTGCTTTAAATGGGATTGAATTATGTGGTTTTTATGTTTCGGTTAAGGTTTTTATGCCTTTAGTTAATCTGTATGCGGTAGTTGTAGAATTATCAACAATTTAAAAGTTAAGTCTAACGAATCGCCATTTGTTTACATTTGAAACTCAACAGAACAGCGGATTTGAAACTCTTAATAGAATAGTAAATTAAGTCACTGGTGCACCAGCTTAACTGTCTTTTTGACTTGTGAGACCGAAAGCTAACTTTCGGCTTTGTGCACCGAAAATATTGTCTTTCTGCTCGTCAGCCGAATTCCTTGTTTTGATGTAGAAATTCTATTTTTAACTGTAAAAAAATTAAATAAATAAAATTTTTAACTGTATTTGGTGTTTCAGATTTTTTTGTATCTTACAAATTTAATGAAATTTTGAATTTTTATGCATTTTTGCCTTGCCGCGAAGCGAGAACTGAATTGACTGAATGAGAAATACATCTCTAATGAAATTCGAGGAAATAAGTTTCAATGAAATGCAGGCAAAAAATGTGTAAAAGCTGTATAAGAAGAAAGTCACGTGATGAACATCAGATATTTTTTAATGTGCAGAAGATCTGAAAATAACTTTGAAAATAGATATAAGGGAAAATAGCAAAAAATAAAGTTTCCTGGTAGTTGTTGACCTCCCGGGATATTTTCAGAAAGTTCCCTCCCCCCCAAAAGTCATTTCCGATGATCCGATGATCATTCATTCTTTTTATTTTATTTCCCCCCAACCCAATCCTTTTAATAACTACAGTGTTTATTTCTTCCTGATAGCTTTTCTTCGACTCTCTCCAAATTTCTCAGAGCATTGCTAGACTGAGATTACGACAACGTAATTGTTTATTCAGTTGCTATAACGGTTCAGTTGCTATAACGGTTACTGTACTTGAATCTATTTTACACTAAGCAAAGAATATTTTCTTTATCTTAAAATCGTTTGCGTTTCTTCGAGGGTTTTACAGCTTTATCATCAATCATGGCAGAGTTATTTGTAGCATTTTTGGGCTACCGTATTTGCCTTCGTATAAGACGCAACCCTTTTTTTATACACATTTTTGAAGGATAAAATTTTATTACTGAACATTATATTGAATTTACAGTATTTTAAATATAAAGTAATATAATTGCAAAGTAATACTTTCTGAAAATACCCAATCTATCTGGGAAAGAACACCCTTTAATCTTCTTCGTCAAAACCATTTCATGAAGCTTTGACCCATTCACAAGGAAACTCCGCAAAAAAGCAAGAAAAAAAGTCGCATAACTCTAAATAAACTAAGTATCGGGGTATAAGACGCACCCGTTTTTCAGACCTATTTTTAAAGAAAAAATTGCGTCTTATATTCCAGCAAAATACGGTAGTTACGATTAAGACAGTAATTTTATCGCTATCAGAATTTGGCATTTATAATAACGAATTTTAGAATACTTTTTAAGATTTCGTTGACATCGATTTCTTTGTGGAATCAAATAAATCTGCGAATTCTGAACTTTTACCTGTTATTTTTTAATTTTCATTTTAATTGTTAGATTATTTTCATATTTAAATATCTTTTTACGACTTTTACTCAGAATTTCTGCTAAATAATTCCAGAGAAAACCCAGATTAGAACTTTAAGCTGCGATTCGCTGGACTTCTAAATCACGAAGAAAAATTTTCTAAAGTTACATAAAATCGGTTTGCAACTCCTGTCAATGCTGGAAAATAATTTCGATGTCAAATAATCCTAAACAACGGTTGGCCTAAAGGATTTGTTAGGGTTTTTTTTTTTTTTTTTTTTTTTTTTTTTTTCGCGCTCACTAAGCTCGCCGTCAACCAGTGTGTATAGTACTTTTACTAATCCAAACTTGTAACTATCTTGGTGGTTCAGTTTGTACGTAATAAGGGAGATGAAAGGCTCAGTTTTGAACACAACAACAAAGAATTTATTTACATGATTACTGAAATAAAGTGTAGTATTAATTGTGCCGTTAATTATTAGGGCCGGCGAATCCCTTACAAGCATTCTTACTCATTAGTTAAGCAATTGTACACTGAAGAGCCAGGCGGGGTACAGCGCCCTCTATCGGCGTTTCTCAACAGTGTGCTTTTGCACTCACTCCTACAAACTTTTTTTTTCTCTTTTTAGCTTTGTTTTTAATCATTATTAGTCCAAAGGGGCTTTGTCCCTGAAGGACTATTGTTTTCGTTTTGCGATTTTGCGTTGAATCACTATAAATGTCCGTTTCACTTTTCAAATTGTTGACACCGAATGTTAGAGTCCTGCATTATACTTAAAGAATATAAATAATGAAAAATCTGCATA